CAGGGGAAAGGAAAGAAGGGAAAGGAAAAAATGATGAGAAATGGAAAAAATGGAAATAAAGTCTTTGTCAATAGGGAAGGGTGGAGGGCATGAAGGGAGGGCTAGGAATGGGGAAAAAATCAGAATCAAGATGCATTATATAAAGGTACACTTCCCAATGAGAAATGTAATTGTGTTGTATACCTACAATGTACCAATAAAAGAATTTAATACAAAAAAAATCCAATATCCTTTCATAATAAAAACTGAAGAAAATACATATAAAAGGACTTTATCTCAATCTGATAAAAGCCATTAATGACAAACCAACAACCAACATCATAGTAAATGAAGAGAAGCTAAGGCTTTCCCTCTAAAATCAAGAACAAGATAAGATGCCCACTATCACCACTACTGTTTAATACAGTTCTCAAAACATAAGCCAGAGCAAGCATGCAAGAGAAAGAAATAAAAGGGGTATGTATAGGAAAAGGAGAATTCAAATTATCATTATTTGCATATGATATGATCTGCTACTTAGAAGGCCCCAAAAACTTTACCGAAAGATTCCTAGGATTAACCAAATTCAGTAGCATAGCAGTATAGAAAGTCAGCACTCAAAAATCAATAATGTTCCTATACAGCAATAACAAACTCACTGAGAAGGAAATAAAGAAAACAGTAACTTTCACAACAGCATCAAGAAAAATGAAATATTTAGAAAGTAACCTAACCAAGGAAGTGAAAACTTCTACAATGAAAACTATAGTACTCTGAAAAAGGAGATTGAAGAGGACATCAGAAAATGGAATGATATCTCCTGTTCCTAGATAGGCAGGACCAATATAGTGAATATGGCCATACTTCTTAAACTTATATACAGATTTAATGCAATCCCAATCAAAATACAAATAGCATTCACTTCAGAACTACAGAAAATCATCCTAGTTATCATGTGGCACCAGAAGAGACCTAAAATAGCAAAAGCAATTCTGGGTAACAAGGGCAAGGTAGGAGGAATCACAATCCAGACCTGAAGTTATACTATAAAACTGCAGCAAAAAAAAAAATAGCATGGTAGTGGCAAAACAAACAGGCATGGGTAAATGGAACAGAATACAATATGCAGAAACAACTTCAAATATATTCAGCTAACTAATCTTTGACAAAGCCACCAAAAATTAAACAGTAGAGGGAAGATAGGCTCCTGAAATAATGGTGCTGGGAAAATTGGCTATCCACATGCAGAAAGATTGAATGTAGACCCACATCTCTCACCATGTACTAAACTAAAATCAAAATGGATCAAACATCTAACTATTACAACAGAAACAATCTGCTGGAAGATAAAATAAGTAAAATTCTTAAAGACACAGGCATAGGCAAGGACTTTCTAAACAGAACCCCCCACTGCAAAAGAGATAACACCAAGAATTAACAAATGGGATGATATCAATTTTAAAAAGCTTTTGCATAGCAAAAGAAGCAACCAGTAGAGTGAAAAAACCTATTCAATGGGAAAAAGTTGTGTTTGTTTTTTTTTGGTACCAGGGATTGAACTCTGGACCTTGCACTTTCGAGGCAGGCAGGCAGCGGAACCACTGAGCTAAATCCCCGGCCCCATAATTTTTGTTTTGCATTTTTTTTTTTTTTTGGTACCGGGGATCAAACTCGGGACCTTGCACTTGCAAGGCAGGTGCTGAAACCACTGAGCTAAATCCCCGGCCCTGGGAAAAAGTTTTTTACCAGCTATTCCTTGGACAGAGGACTAATATCTAGATATATAAAGAACTGAAAAAAATTCGACTCTCTCAAAAGACTCAAAATATGAGAAACTGAAATGAGCACATACTTCTCAGAAGAAGTACAAATGGCTAATGAATACATAAAAAAATGTTCAACATCACTGGTCATTAGAGAAATGCAAATTAAAATTATACAAAGATTCCATCTTAGTCCAGAAAGAATGGCCATAATCAAGAAATCAGATAACTGCTGGTGAGATGGTGGGGGAAAAGGAACCCTTCTTCATTGTTGGGAAAGTAAACTGTACAACCATTATGGAAATCAGAAAACACTAAAACAAGAAATTCCATTCCCAGCTATTTCCCTCCTAGGTATCTTCCCAAAGAGTTAAAGACATCATATTATTTATGTTTATAGCAGGACAAATGACAGTAGCTAAATCTCAGAAGCAGCCCATGTGTCGATCAAAAATACAAAGAAAATGTAGTCTTTATACACAGTGGAGTATTACTCTGCCACAAAGAAGGATAGGCTTGAGTCATTTGTAGGAAAATAGACGCACCTTGAGACCATAATGTTAAGTAAATGTTAAATCAAACACACAAACCTAAATATCACATGGTTTCTCTTATATGAGAAACTCAAAATATAAAGAACAAAATAAAAGATAATAGGTAAAGAGATGGAGGGGAAAAGAGCAGGAAAAGAAAAATACAGCTTGGAAGGAAGGGAAGGGCAGAGGATATAAAAAATTAAGATGTGTTGTATACATGTACCAACTCCTCACAATCAATGTACTCATTATGTACTAAAAACATTTACTAATTTTAAAAAAAGGCAGCATGTGACAAGAGCAAAAGAAAAAAGCATCACACACAAAAGAATATGATCCCTCAGATAGTGTGACAGATTGACATGTACCTTATATTCTTCTTGCTGTTTCCTGCAGTTTCTGTCATCACACTGGGGATTTGGCTTCATGGACATAGTAGGAAAAAAATCCTGCATTGCATTGTACCCAAGGTAAAAACTAACAGTCCCAAAATTTAACAGGAACCTAGAAAAACAAATCATGGTAGACATATATAAAGAAATAAAACTGTAAAAATTCTAGAAGGAAGTGAGCTTTTAAAACATGATTTGGGAGTAGGTAATAATTTTTGTAACATGTAAGCCGGAAAACAGACCTTTTCTCTCTTGTTTACAGAGCCTGGCTCAGAGAAGATACTTTCACATTTGTTGAATGAAGGATGGAAAAAAAATATTAATCTGTTTTATTAATTGTAAAATGCACCATTTTTTAACTCCTAATAAAGATAAAATGCTGGCAATTATAAAAATTAAAAGGTTTTAAGAAACACACTGATTTTAGAAATATTAAAATGTGAGGAGTGTTTTTAAAATCTCTGAAATATTAGTACTAAATCTACTTAATATTTTTAAGTTAGTTATTATGAAAATTATATAAAGTATACAATCTTGAATGTACAGAGCAATAAAATTTTTTTTTTTTTGGTACCAGGGATCGAACTTGGTCCTTGTGCTTTCAAGGCAGGCGACAGAGCCACTGAGCTAAATCCCCGGCCCCAGAGCAATAAAATTTTGTCTTCCACTCCTAGATCAAGATATTGAGCATTTCCAGCATCCCAAAATCTCCTTTGTGTCCCCTTCCCTCTCAAATGTGATTCCCTTTAAAAGCTTCTGTATAGAATAAAAATCATGAATAAAACACAAATGATGGAAGGCAAAATATTTACAAATGCATGCTTTTAATATACAATTTAGAAAAACAAAAGAACAAAGGGTATTTTAAAATATAATTCACAGAAAAATATAAGTGCCCAACTTTTTATAAATAAATGGAAATTAAAATGAAGTACCCATTTTTTGTTAATCAGATTGACAAAGCCTAAAGAGCTTGATAATATCAAATGTTTTTAAAGGTATGAGTGACCAGGTACTCCTACACTATCATGGGAATGAAAGATCCTTTTACAAGGGAAATTGGGTAATATTTGTTGAAATAAATTCCATTTATAAAGATTTTTACTGTACAGAAACCCACTACTCAATGATACAATGTAAGATGCTTGAAGGATTGTTATTAAAAACCACAAAAAAATGTAAGTGGACTAAATGTCCATCAACAGAAGCTGGTTAAACATTTAACATATCCTTAGGGAATACTTTATAGTTTCCACACTATAAAATGTTTGGCTTATATAGGACCTACCAAACTTTGTCCAGGCTATTTGCTCTGATATGACATAGCCCTAGACTGTTGGCTTCAGAGTTCTTTTTTTTCCTGGTACCGGGATCAAATATGACCTTGCACTTGCAAGGCAGGCATGACATCACTGAGCTAAAGCCCCAGCCCTTCAGAGTTCTTATGTATACATTTACAATTTCTTTGCAGGCAGCTGACATTTATCACTGTTATCAGGATGCTTCCTTATAGGATGTTGCAATTTATTATTCTGTGAGGCTTAGGAAATATAATTAAACTTATTAAAGTTGTACAGTGAGAAAAAAATAGCTTGAGTTAGGATCTCTGCTTTTAATGGAAGTTGGCTCACAAACTGACATAAATATTAGCTGCACAGAAACTTTTTTCTTTCTTTTTTAGCTATGGTTAAAAAGTGTAGCTGTGGGGATCTGTTTTTGGATAACAAAAATATTTCTCTGATGAATATTTACTCGTGTACATTATTTTTAGTAAGAATTAGGCTAAGATAGTGGAAGCAAATGTGCTTATGCCTAAGTATTCACCTACTGGTCAGGTCTGCAGAGATTTAACTCATTTGATGAAATATAGTCATGTATCGCAGAATGACATTTCTGTCAATAACAAACCACATACACTGCTGTGGACCCAAAATATTATATAGCCTAGTATCTATAGCCATCTTAGTTTGCATAAGTTCATTCTATAATGTTTGCACAATGATGGAATAGATGCATTTCTCATAACATATCCCTGTAATTAAGCAATGCACGACTGTAAATACACCAGGATCACTGTAATGTTTAACAAGAGCTATGCACGGAATTACTGACATTCATGTACACATACACATGTGTATTAATGTATGTGATACTAATGTATTAAATACATTGATATATTTATGTATAATAAAAAGTACATATATATAATACACACATCACATATAAAATTTGAAAAATAACATTAAATTTTAAAGTCAAATATTCAGCTGGCAATTTCAATTTTTGAAATAGTTCATGAAATATATTTACTTTTATCAAAAGCATGCAAAACTATTCAGAAAAATTAGCCCTGACTTACTTTAACACATTTTGTACCAAGATTCCTGCAACAACTCCCATAGTGGTTGGAAGACTGGCTGCACAAACACCTTCTCGTTTCAGAGTCTTTTCATCAATATTTGCAGCAACCACAAGTGGTGGCGCACACTATACAAAACAGAATAAAGAAAACAATTTCAAGAGAAATAGAGAAAAGAATGAGATGTTCCAAGTAGTATTCCATCACATTTGAGTTTGTTTTCCGTTAAATTGCAATACACTTTCAATTCCCCTTAAAATTCTATTACCTAACAATGAAAAATGATCCAAAACAAATAATGCATACCGCAAAACAAGCAGATTCTCCAGGAATAATGAGCTGGATATGCCCTGAAACCGCATTTTCACTGACCCCAGATTCCATCCATGTTTGCCCAAGTTCATTACAAGCCTTAATAGAAATAGGTGAAAACACAAGGAAAAAAATGAAAAAGCACAAAATAATTTCACTAAGTTTTTTGTGAAATATTAGGTTGTAACTGAATAGCTCACCAAGAGTTTCTAAAATTTCCTGGATGAAAAAAGACTGCAAATAACTGAATTTTCTGGCAATTACCACGCTCTATTAAAGAGCAAACTGTCAGAAACTCAAAAAGCAGACAGTAAATAGCTACCTATTAAATTGAACTGTAGTTTGGAAAAATTTATTTTTCTAAAATTTCAGCAACAAAAAAAGCAAAATATCATTTAAAAGTTAATTTTTTTTAAAGATTTTTATTTTTGAGAAATTATGTTTTTAGTCAATGTATTTATACATTTATATAAGGTAAAAAGTTAAAGCCAATAGTGATCAAGAATACATTTTACAAAATATTCATGTGTTTTAAAAATCACACATCAGAAGTATTTGCTATTTTCTACTGTGTAAAAGAAAGGGTTATGCTAACGTATGTCACAGTAACAAGGCTAGACAGGTCCCACAGTTATCATTAATTTTAAAAGTAGGCTAAGAAAACATTAAAAATAAAACACAAAAATAGGTTTAAATTCAGAACTGCTTGTAGGTTGGCAACTGTATACTGATAGAATATACAGGAAAAAAGACAAGTCCATAAGTGCAATATCTTACATAACAGGAATACTCACTGTATTTATTGCCATTCGAGCTTCAAAATTGTCCACACAGCTAAGAACTAGATCGATGGGCTTTCCTTCTTCTAGCCCACCATTACTAGTTTAAAAAAAATGTTTTTTCAAAAGTCAGGAAACAAAATACATTCTAATAGGACTTTATTCAGTTTTATTCTTTCATTACATGATACAATATAAATATAGCATAGTATTTAATAGTAATGATCCTATAAATATCAAGTGTTGATAATGGTTAACATTACAAGGGTGAAGGATGTACAGTCTATTCAGAAAAGTTACAATTTCCCAGACTTATTCATACTCACCACTGATGTAAATTTAGTAAAACTTAATCAAATGCAATTTATTATTTCCTAAAAGAAAATCATTTTCAGAGAAAAATGCAATCTAGAACACAGAACTTAAATTTAGGCAGCCTTTGTTAAATTGTAATTTTCAGGGTTTTTTTTTTCTTTTTGCTTATTTTTTTCACTGTTTCTTTGGACGGTATTTTTTACTGGGCTTCTAATACATAAAAATTACTATTTTTAAAAACAAAAGTATATGTAAATCTGCAAATTCACAGACTTAATAGTTTTCTAATACTCATTTAGCTGAGCTGCATATTCTACAAAATATTCATAAGTAAAAGTTTTACCTTATTCTATCCATAAAATGTTGAAAGTTTTCTACTGTGGTTATATTATAGTTGTGTACTTCAAAAAGAACATCAGGATTAATGTTCCTAAGAGTGAAAAAGGAAATAATTTATAAAGCAGTTAGTAGTAAGAATGTAAGAAAAAGCAGAAACAGGCTGGGGATTTAGCTCAGTGGTTCCAGCACCTGCCTCACAAGCGTAAGGACTGGAGTTTGATCTATGGCACCAAAAAAAAAAAAAAGAAAAAGCAGAAAGGAAAGCATTCAATAAACTCAAGAGTATTTAACATACTTTAAACAAGTGGAATTCAAGCCATTCAAAGAAAATCCAAAATCTTGTTCTACCTCTTTTGTCCCACTTCAAGGACTAGGTTTAAAAAGGTATAGAATGTCATGAAGATTATGAAAAATTTGCTGCCCCAACCTGGATCAATCTGTGTGAAGGACTACTTCTGGTAGCTATTGTTCAGCCTGACAAAAGAGCTTCTTTGTTCCCTATCCAATTGAGTACATGGAGGTTGGGCCTCTTAATATACTTATACTGAACTGAACAGGTGCTGGCAAACTCTGATCCTTGACCAAATCTGGCCAGCCACTTGTTTTTGTACAGCCTTTGAGCCATAATGGTTGAGAAAAAAAAAAAAAATCAAAAGACTATTTCATGACATGAAAGTAATATAAAATTCAAATTTCAAAATCCAAAACTATGTTTTATTTGAGCAAAGACTTGCTCTTTCATATTTGGGTTATCTATGGCTGTGATCACACTACAACCCCCATAGTTAAGCAATGGCAATGGTGACCATATGGCCCTCCAAAGCTAAAATATATACTACATACCCCTACAGAAAAAGGTCCAAGAGGTAAAAGAATTCTTTGCACAATTGAAATCTGCATTTTTACAGTGAAAAGTTAAAGTCCATTTATACATTAGGTCAACTCACACTATATATACAAAATAAGATTTCACTGAATATGGTCATTAATTGCAATTCCATGTACCTCAGAGTATGTTCTGCTGCTTGCACTTTACTCAATCCTGCTTGATGAGGTTGGAAGAAAAGTCTATTCATATTGGCCAGTTCCACCTTGTCATAGTCAAAGAGCAGCAACTAAAACAAAAATAGTAGTATTTCAATGGAAAACATACTGAAAACTAAAAATAACTAATCATAAACAGGTAGACTTTGTACTTGATGGGTTTAATAGTTTGATAATAACATTAGCCAACTCTAAGACACTAGGTGCCATATATTAATTCACTGAATGTTCATGTGAGGAAAACACATAGGTACTATTATTCTCATCCCAGAGATGAGGCAACTAAAGCACTCATGGCCCAGAGACCACTCAGCTAATATGTAGTAAAAACCGGATTCAAATTCAGGAACTCTCAATCCAGCATCTGTCCTCTAAACACAATGCTGTGCTGCCTCTAAATGGATTCACTGTGAAATTAATGCGCATTTCATTCCAATTTTAAAAACTTGTGCCAAAATCCTACTTCATTTGTATTTCTTCAAAAAAAAGTAAAAAAGAACCCTTTGGATAAATGAAATCTTTAAATAAGATTTTAAAAATGTAACTTAAAACAATAGTACAATCCGACTTCTTTTGTATAACACAATACATACCCATGCCTAGGCTAAAACATTATACCAAAGAGAATTACTAACCAACCAGTTGATTGTCTCCTGCTATATTTTTAGGCTTATATTAAACAATATTTGTCACATACACTATTTCAAATGATCAGAAGATGACATTTCTTATCCATAAGAACACATTAGAGCCAAGGATTTCCAAGATCCCTTCCTTATCTAAAATTCTGTAGTGTCTAATGTAATTCTCAATACCCTAAATTTAATAATTAAAAATAGAATTTTATTTGATATAGAAACATAAAAAAATTAACACAGTCCATAACAACACTCAAAGGCCTCTTTTTAATATCTTGCTAGAAAATACATATATCACTATGCCCTCTATAGGGTTCTAATCCTACTTAGTCTCCAAAACATGGTTTACTTAAACTCATTCAACAAATATTTACCAGGTAATGCAGAGTATTAAATCTGAGTTTCTGCCTCATTACTTGTTCATAAGTTGCAGGAAATCAAAATTTTAGAATTGAAAGTATGAGTTGTTGAATCCCACTAATTAGCTTTGATCGCTGATAAACCACTTTGATACTTGAGGCCTGTATTTTTAATCTGTAAAACAAAGCACCTGATCTAGATGTAGTGATACAGGTTGCTCCAGATGCTTTCTGTGATCTGAAATTGGCTTTGGGTCTCCCAGACTCTACTTCCCTGTTCAACTTCATCAACTTCTTATTAATCTGTTTTATAGATTAAAGAGTCCCTGGAACTCATCTGCTTAGACTCTTAGTTTACAAACTTGAGTGCACACTGGGATCACTTGGATAGTTACTAAAAATATAGATGTTTGGCCAGAAATTTAGGTCAGTGGTTCTGCCGCCTGCCTCACAAACAGAAGGTCCAGAGTTCAATCCCCGGTAGCCGCCACCCCCCCCAAAAAAAAAAAAATAAATATATATATATATATGGATAGATGTTTGCATCTCAACTCCAGAGATTCTGATGCTTCCTATCATGGAGTACAGTCTGGACATCAGAATTTTTTAAACTTCCCAGTTAACTGTAATTAAAGCAATAACTGAATAATTAATATACTAGATCTTTGCTACTTAAAATATGATCTGGTTGAGCAGAATGAGTATCACTTGGAGTTTGTTAAAAGGCCAAAAGCACTTTCCCAATTTTAATATACAGTGGACCCTCAAGTTATGACTGGCCTGGCATATGAACAACTTGGGTTACAACTGGAATTTCAGTTTTGACTTACGAACAGTCTTGAGTTGCAACCTGAATGCCAGCCGCTTGTGCTTCCAGATGGTCTCAGATACAGATTTAATCCTTAAAACTTCTAGAAGGAACATTACATCCTTTCCTGTGTGGGGTCAACTGAGAAATCCTGGGCCAGTGTCTCTCTAAGGACACTGAGATCTGCCTGTGTATAGGAGAGAGACTTTGAAGGCTGTGTAGAGGAGCCGGAGTCTTCATTGACCAACTTGAGTTACAACCAGCCCCCAGAAACAAACTGAGTTCGTAAGTCAAGGGTCCACTGTTAAACTGGGGATCTGGCTAATGATACTTTGGGAACATGACTTGGAGTAGCAAAAGTCTGATGGGTTTCAAAGTTTAGCACCCTGAATGTCATCAGGATCACCTGATAACATAATGGCAATTACTAGGACTACCTGACAGAACATCAAAACCACTGAAGTAGGGTCTGGCAATCTGTGTTTTAATAAGGGTTCCTGTTCTGGTAACATAATCATGATTTCAATGATCTCTAACATCCCTGCTCAATCAGCCAGGTACTAAAATCAGCAATATGCAATGTCTGGCCTGACTTTGTAAACCTCACGAAAAAAATCAAAGTTTTAATAAACAATTTTTGTATTTTGGTGTTATTGTTTTTATACTGATGAATGTGTGACAATTTTGAAACCACTTTAAGAGTTTGGGTGGACCAACATATTAAAAAGCATCCATTAACCATATGGAAAAAAAAGTTTGCTTTATCAAAATGACAAATTAAGGCATACAATTGTGGAAAGCTTATTATTAAACCACTTTGTATCTAACATTATAGACTTTGGCTTTATAGATATAAGATTGATAGATTGATTTCTGGTATAAGGTTACTTCTCCTTCCTATACACAATCCAAATAAATTTTAAAAAGAATTAAAAAAAAAAAAAATGAACCAGGCATGGTGGTACACACCTATAATCCCAGCACTCAGGAGGCTGAGGCAGGAGGATAGTGACAAGTTCAAGGCCTGCCTAGGCTACATCATAAATTCAAGGCCAGCGTGAACTACATAGCAAGGCCCTGTTTTAAAAAAAAAAGAAAAGCACAGCAAAAGAAATCACTAATAGAGTAAAGAAATACCCATTTCAATTTTAGTTAAGTGCATTGTGAGAGATAGTCGTCAGAGTTTTAATCTTCAGCATGTGGAAAGCCAGTTTTCCCAGCATTATTTATTAAAAGAGACTCTTCCAGTGAAGGGTTTGGCCTCTTTGTCAACAATAAAGTGGCTGAGTGTGTTTCAAGTTGTTTCTGCACCTTCTAATGTGTTCCACTGATCCTCAGGTCTGTTTTTGTTGCCAATACCATACTGTTTTTATCACAGTAGCTTTGTAGTATAATTTCAAGTCAGGGATTTTGATGCCCCTACATTGCCTTTATTGCCCAGAATTGCTTTTGTTATTCTAGACTTTATCAATTTAAGTCTTCTTTTCTAAGATTCTATATCTAAGAGACTTAAATCTAAATTGTTTATATATTACCCCAACCAAAACATTCTTGGACACAGTCCTTGTTTAGCAACAGTATCAGCTTTCATTTGGAAGAGATATGTCATAACTTTTTGGGTGAAAGAACAATCTGAATATACACCACAAATCAACAGACCATTAGTAATGAGGAAGAAAAGGTCCTTAATTTGTACCTGATTTGCTCCAGGGGTGAATTCTCTATATGACAGGCAAAGAGAAATATTTTTACCTTACCAATGCCACATCTTGTCAGCATTTCAGCAGTCACACTACCAACTCCACCAACACCTACTACTGCTACAGCAAAGGTACGGATTTTCTGTGAAACACAAATTCATATATACATTGGTTAATAACTCTTCATCTAATTTGTCACCAGAAATTACTTTCATTTACTGAAATCTTCAGAAATGTTGAAAGGTTTATCATACCTCATAGTCGCTTACAATTCCCATTCGTTTCAATGCCATCAGGCGGCTTAGAACAAAGAAAAAAAAGGTTTTAATGCTTACAGTGTTAGTTAATAGTGATATAAACATACATCAACATGGAAAATAAACAAAACTCTTCTGGTATCCCTCCTTTGAAAGGAAGAATCTGTCAGCTAGTTTTTATCAGATGAAACTAAATTACTGCGTAGCTTTAAAAATAGATGGTTAAAAAAAAAATAGATGGTTATGTGGCCCCCCAGGTATAGCCTGTGAAACAATTTTTTAAAAAGCTCCTTCTGTGTTCTAATTTGAAGCCAAGATCCACGTGTACTGACTTAAATGTTAAGGGCCAAAGTGAAATTTAAACATAGACATTTAATGTTAATGCTCAATCTCCATCATCAGAATAAGCTCGTGGCTAGAATTCTATTCACTTGTTCCCTCTCCTCTTAATGGATGTCTATTTTTAGTAAGCACCTACTGTATGCCAAGGACTCTCAGAGGCACTCTAGCTAGTTACTGCTAATCTGCTCTATTCTCTTAAGTTTTTAAGCTTTATATGTGTGTACAGTTTAAAGCTATACACATACGTGTAATTTTTATTTGCTTATACTAAAGGAGTCAAACATCTACTAGGCTTGTTAGAAAATTCAGTAGTCCTCTGTTCCAGCTCCCCTTTCCTGTCTTCGCTAATTTTCAGCCCTATCATCATCATATCTCCAAGGTATATGCTAACATTATTATTTATTTTCAGTCTTATGCCTTATCTGAAGATTTTACTCTTACCATCCATCCCTACTAAACACACACACACACACACACACACACACACACACACACACACATCCCTATCCCATCAGCTTCCCAATACTGTTCTATGATCATCTTGGTTCAATATTATCCATTCACAACTGAGAGTGCAGTATTTTAAAGCCTCTCCTTCCCCCCTACTAACTCCATTCTTCAAGGTAATAACTGTGTCTTTCCTTATTCTTAATTTCCTATGTATTTTCACTTACTAAATCCAAAATCTCTTCATTGGTTCTCTAAAATCCCTTTAGATACATACAGTCATATGCATGAGTTCTTCTATCAATGTCATATTTGTGTGTTTGGGGTGGGTACTGGGGACTGACTCTAAGGCCTTCACGCTAAGCTTCATCTCTAGCCCTCTTTTTTGTAGTACTGGGGATTGAACTCAGGACCTTCCACTTGCGAGGCAGGTGGCAGCACCACTGAGCTAAATCCCCAGCCCTCTATCCCTTTCTAAAAAGAAAAAAAAATGTTTTAAAGACAGGGTCTCACTAAATCACCTAGACTTGAGATCCTCCTTCTTTGGCCTCCCAGAGTAGTGGGATAATATGTGCAACTCAATGTTTTATCTTCTTCTTCTTTTTTTTTTTGTACTAGGGATCGAACTCTGGACCTTGCACTCACAAGGCAAGCAAGGTGCCACTGAGCTAAATCCCCGGCCCTCAATGTTTACCTTCTTAAAGATGAACATATCTCCTAGAATCTGATACAGCGTTTCAGCCTACTATACATATAGCTCCGTTCCTGGGATCTCCCTTCATAATTATACTACAAATTTTGATTTATCTCATATTAATCTCATGAGTCTTTGTATCATACAGCTCAGTGATTCTAAAGTGTGGTCTGTACAGCAGCACTAGCTCCTGAGAACTGACTAGAAATTCAATTTCTTGGGTCTCATCCCATCTTCTAAATCAGAAATTTTGGATGTGAGGCTATCGTGGCTTTTCTCCTGATAGCCCATCCTGTGTCCTCCAGGGTGTACTGTTATCTTGTTTTTTCCTCTTTTACTTGGCCCAAGCTTGATCTGTAGAGCCAGTTTCTCTCTCACTCTTCACTTTTACGTTTTTAAATAAACTTTGCTACTGTTAAAAAAAATTTTTTTTAGATGTGGAGCCCATTTTAACAAGCCTTCCAAATAATTCTGATGCAAACTATAGTTTGAAGCCCTCTGCTATAGGTTATTTCTCAATTTATTCTCTTATGATTAGAACATCTTTCAGTAGTTTTACAAAGAGAACTACCAAGGTAAATTGTGAGAACATGAATGCTGGAATTTAATAAAAATTCTATTGTTAATAAAAACGGTAAAGAGTAGGTAAATTATAGAAAGCCACAAATACATAAGTAACTCACAGTTTAACTAGATATATAAGTCTAAAGTTGGGAAAAAATTTTCCCTTAAAATTTCTAAGTTATTACTCTAGTGACTAGTTCTAGGTAGTTATATAGTATTTTACAATGTGTCTTATGTGAATCAATTTTCATCCATTGTGTTGAGTTCTTTTTTTTTTTTTTTTTTGCAGTACCGGGGATTGAACTCAGAACCTTGGATTTCCAAGATAGGCACAGTGCCACTGAGCTAAATCCCTGGCCCTTATTGTGTTGAGTTTTTGACGGACCTTTTCAAACTAAGAAACTTACATTTTTGAGTTCTGGGAATTTTCTTTAAAAATTAGTTATTTTCTTGCTTGCTTTGTTTTTCCTGGATTTTTCTGGCACTGCTATTATTTGGAAGTTGGTCCCCCTGGACCAGACCTTTATTTCTACTTTTTCTAGGTCCAATTTTGCATTGTTTTAGTTTTCTGTTCTGGGTCATCTTTCAACTTTATTTCCTAATCCTTCCATTGAGATTTTCATTTCTGTTATCATCTCCATTCACAAAGAATTCTTTTCAGTCATCTGTATGATGCTTTTTATAGTACCTTGTTCCTAGTCCATTTATATAATAACTTTTCTTATATGAGGATACTAATAGTAATTTAGAGGAATGTGTTTCCTATCCAAATTACTATTTTTATTTTGTTTCTGTCATGTTAGGAGATTCAGCCTTTGTTTTAATCATATTTAAGAGTGGAACAGTAAGAAAGTAAGGATTTGGGCAGTACTTTTTGATTTTCAGCTTGTAGGGCAATCTACCCAGGACCTTTAATGGAGAAATCCATACTGTCAGTGTCATTGAATCTTTCTGGCTCTATGAGATTTCCCAGGGAAGAACTTTTCTTACCCCAGAAACAATGGCAATCACTAAAAACTCAAAAACAACAAATACTAGTAAGGTTGTAGGGAAAAAGGAAACATTCCACCTTGTTGGTGGGAATGTAAACTAGTTCAGCACTATGGAAATCAGTTCTGAGATGCCTCAAAAACCTAAAACTAGAAATCCTATTTGACTCAGCTATACTTCTTTTGCATATCTTTCCAAAAGAGTTAAAGACATCATATTACACTTAAATATGCACACCTATGTTTATAGCAGCACAACTCTTAAAGTCAAATCTTGGAAATGGCCCATATATGCCTAGCAAAAGATGAATGGATAAAGAAAATGGAGTACTGTATATAAACACAACGAAGTACTACTGAGCCATTAAGAAGGATAAATTTGAGTCATCTGTAGGAAAATAGATGTAGCTTGAGTCCATAATGCTGAGTTAAATCAGACACAGAAAGTTAAATATTGCATGGTTTCTCTTATATGAGAAACCCAAAGTATAAATAAAGAACAAAATAAAAGACAGATGATAGGAAATAAGGAGATAAATTTTGTGGAGATGGGAAGGGGATCTGAGGATGGGAGGAGACAGGAGGGAAGCCAAAGTAAAAATGATAAAAATTTGATATGTATATGTACCAATTCCCCATGATGAATGCATTTATTATGTATCACAAATATAATAAAGAAAAAAATTTTAAAGATTTTTCAAACTCCAACTGGAAAGGCATTTATTCCTGGCAGTAAGCCAGGGCAGTTAAGTTGACAAGTGTGAATGTATAAGTATTCAGTGTACTTTCATGTGACGTCATTTATCCCTTGATTCAGGCATAAATATCTGCCCCAGTCTTACTCTCTCCAATAAAGAAATCTCTAATCTTCTGTACTGATAGGGAAGGGCATTTACTCAGCCACCCACAGTGGAGTAGGAGCCCTTGAGCCTTGTGGGGTTTTTTGTTGTTGTTGTAAGACTTTCAACCAAAAGGTTTTTAGCCATAATTTAAACCCTTCTAGAAGTACCTATGCCTATTCCCAAGTCTTTTGGGGGATTAAGTGTAAGCTGGATGCAGGCTTCAGATTCAACTTCTTAGAATCTATTAAACCAGTCTTGCTTCACTTATCCCTTTCCTAGTTTCCAAAATTATGTCACTGTAACCTTCAAGTATAGGAATCAGGCCTTCTTCTTCTAATTATTAATAGAAACCTATTGTTTTCAATGGGGGTTATTCCTTTTATAAAAAGTTCCGTGAACGTCAGTTTGGTGAAGCTGGGTAGGAAGTAGTAATAAAATTCCTGTGATCCATCTTTACCTTAATGCTCCCTTTAATCTTTACAAAGAACTCTAAGAATGTATGCTCACCCCACCCCCTTACAAATCAGGGGAAAAGATTCAGGTTAATTTACTGCCCAAGCCCAGGTAACTGGCCAACAATATTCAGAGCTATGCTTCTGAGTGGATTTGAAACTAGGTGTTCTAATCTCAAAACCTCTACTTGGCTCTCCCCCATTTCTCTACATGCTTATAGTTATAGTCTATCAACATAATTCAATTATTTGTGTTTTTCATTATTCCACACCCACTCAGTCTTCCAACTAAAGCAAAAAGACTTTAGGTCAGGGAATTTATATTTCTTTTATATCACCTGATGAAATTAAATGGTGTGGAGAACATACAAATCCATTTTCTCTATTTTCTACTTAGCCTGTACTTTCCCTATCATAATTTTTACCACCTTTATTGTAACTGCATATTTGCTTTCCTGTTTCTCTCACATTCATCTAGTAAACTTTGGAGCGAAGAGACTATGTGTATTTTGTATCCATGGTGTCTGTGTACAAGAAATACTCATTAAGGATGGTTGTTGATAAAGAGGTGTTCAATAAATGTCTGAGCTAGACGAATGACAATTTTAAAAAGACTAAATTTTCATATACTAGCAAACAGATATCAACTGATATCTCTTATGTGGCAATTTTTAAAAAAGAAATAGTGGAAATGAGATAGAAAATACTACACATTTACACTTGAGTTCTGAAATTTGTGATTATGTACAATGTCCTTTGTATTTCAACTTGGAGCAAAAATTTAAAAGTTTTCATTTTAAATTTGTAAATTTAAAAACGTTTAAAGATGTCAAGTTGGAATAGTTTCCACTTATTCTAATTAAAGATACCAGTTTATGCTTCTTCAATCTAAAAATTTTGGAACATTACCCCTTTGTATTTGGCAATATGGTTAAAATAGTGCAACCTAACACTGCCATTGATGCTTTACATGTCAAAACAACTAAGACCTTTTTTAAAAAAACCAAAACATTCATGTTTTTTAAAGGGAAAGAGCAACAACAATAACCTAATCGTCCCTACTTCACCTATGTTAAAACTATCTAGTTTTTAGCCATTCTATTGAATGATTTTTATTTTAGACACGGTCTTGCTAAATTGCCCAGACTGGGCTCAAATTAGCAATCCTCCTGACTCAGCTTTCCAGAGTGCTGGGATTATAAGCATATGACACCAGGCTGATTTACTTTTACTGGAGAGACAGTTCCATGTGAATTTTGGATTCAAACAAATATAGCGTCAGTTGAGACTTTATTACTGACTGCTGTATATATAATCTAAAGCAGCTCTCTACGCTTCAATTTTCTCACCTATAAAATGGAATAAAATAATAGCAATCATATAGGGCTGTGGTGAGAGGAGACCATGTGCTTAGCACATAATAAAAGCTCAATAATTGCTTTCTACTAAATGCAATGAGCAAGTCTTGTACAAGGCTTACCCATGTGCAGTCACTATTCTAAGAACTTTACATACACTGGCTTTTTCAAACTTCATATCTATGACAGAAGTAGACAATACTACAATGCCCTCCTCACAGGTAATAAACTGAGGCAGAAAAGTTCAAAACTTGTTCGAGTTTACCTGTCTACTAAGAGAGCTGAGATTTGAATTCAGTCAGTCTGGCTTTAGAACGCATGGCCTTAACCATTGCACTACATTCTGCCTACTGAACTGACAAGCCTTCGGAAGAAAGGAGAGGGCCAGGCAGGCCTGGTAAAGTACAACACGTTAAGGAGGACCCTAAACTCTGGTTAGAGTTAACCCTGCTCCCTGCCGCCCTGCCCCTATCTAAGATGCTGATAAGCCTGCATGAAACTCGAAATTTACGCTTAGCGGGCTTTACATCTGATTTGACCTTACTGTCAGTGTTATGCAGAACGAGGTGGGCTAGGATGGGCAAGGGCGACAGGAAGCTGAATGCAAGTCGACAGCAGGCACAGGAGCAGCACCACATGGATGGCTCACTCGGTTTGTTTTTAAGAGAAAGAACATTTTAGGACTAGCATTAAAGACCATTAAAAATGGTCTTAACTGTTTTGGAACGGGACGCCCAGCCTACGGAAGGAGGGGGCGAGTGGGCGGGACAGGGAGAGCCTCAGTCGGGACCCTCTGGAGACCTTCCTGCCCGAGACTAGCGACGCCAGTCACCTGTAGGGATTGGAATCCACCACCTCGGCGCTCATCTTCTCGATGCGGACCCGGCCACCCCCTACGTCGCCGTCTCCCGGGACCCGCCGACTCCTCTCCTGGGCGAGTTCCCTCTCCAGCTCCTGCACCCGCTGCTGCAGCCGCCCCACAGACTCAGCCATGGCTGGGACCCCGCAGGCCACCGCTCCCAGCCCAGGCCGCCGCCGCCGCCGCCCCACGCTGCTCGGCTGGGCCCAGGAGAGGACACAGGAGGTCTCGGCCCCGGCCTTCCAAGCCCCAACAGCTAAGGAAGCGGCCCCACGGCCTCGCAGACAGACACGTCTCCCTCACACCCGCCGGCCTCCCAAGGTCCCACTTCCGGTGCGTCGCCTTCTTCCCTCCCCCGGCAAAAACTCGGTTCTCTTGGCTTTCTTCCTTGCTAGATCTGCTAAAACGGGCATTAGGAGAACCAAAGTCTAAGTATCTAAAGCAGGCGGACGGCAACGTTGCCTTTCTAAGTAAGCAGCTAAGAGAAACACCTGGATCTATTATTCCTGGGCTCACAGTCTGACGGTCTCTTTTCTAGAACGGACCCTATTGTCTTCCGCCTGAAGCTTCCTTAAATTTGGGGGCGAAGAGGCCTCTGCGGCCTTCTCCAGTTGCGACGACTGTGGCTTTGCTATCTTTAAATTTGAGGTTTCTGACTCTGACAGAAAATTCTGAATTGGAACGCACACTGGACGCTTCGGGTATCCCGACTTGAGCGGGAGATTCAGCTGGTCTGCGTTGCTCAGCAACGGCTCCGAGAGCTTCTGTTACTGGCTAGGGCTGGCCCCGACCCGGCTTCTAGCCCCAGATCGAGGTTAAAGGTCTTGCCACCTGAGGGACCTTGGCACTCTGGAGCTGTGGGTTGCCCTCTTCGCAGACTAGCAGCGGCGGCAGTCATGGGGAGAGATGGCACAGGGAGAGAGCCCGACACCGCCGAAGTGCTGCCCCAGCACAAGTTCGACCACAAAGCCCTGGAGACCTACCTGAACCGGCATTTGCCTGGCTTTGGGGCGCAGCCTGAGACTACGCTGAGCATTACACAGTACAGGTATCGACGCCAGGCCTCACCTCCAGCAGAAACAAATCCGTGCTTTGGGCTTTCCTTCTTTTCGCCCTGGGTGGGTTCCAATTTTCCCCAGACCCAGTATGTTTCCTGCAGTGAGGCACCTTGCAGGAGAGCTTCTGTTGCCTGTCCCCTGCATTCCATTCCGTTCCAGTCTCAATTCGAGGGCAGTAATGAAAGCACTATAATAACATTTGCCATTCCACTAGGCAATGGAGTCTTTCTTTTAAAATGAAATTATGTGCCTCGACCTTTTGTGCTACAACCGTTTAGAACTTGAGACCATATTCTGAGACGCTGGTGTAATTCCCTGTAATTGGCCGTATTCCCAGGAGGCAAAATTAATGGTTCCACCTGGACGGTACAAATCTGAATCCTAGGCCATTCACTTAGCAAGTTACAGCAACACTTGGGCCCCAAGTTTTTTTTGAAGCGAGGAAATTAAACTGAATGAGATGATCCTCAGAATACCGTTCCTCACCGCGAATCTAGCTTTAGCCTGATGTTTCACAATAGATGATATTTTTTAAAACTTTATTTTAAGTGACGTTTTTATGAAAAGGAGACTACAGAAAGAGTCCTGGCTTTTAGAAAACTGTATCTGCCACTTTATGAGAGTTTAAATATGTTGTATAAACTCTGAGAACAAGTTTCCAAATTTGTAATACTTGCCTATTTTGATTAGTCTTGGTAATGAAATGAAGGTAGGTAGGTAAAGGGTTTAAACATCACAGCAACACTGGATTCTGGTGGCTTTTTATCACTGGCATTTATATTCTTTAGTGAAAATGGAAGTAGTAGTAAAGGTCAGATGAATGGAGTGGCTGAAGCTTTTAGCCTAGAAAACTGGTGTTGTAAACAAAGTAACAGATTAAAGTTCAAATTTCAGCTATTGCTGTGGAATTTGAATAGATTGTCCTTTAAGTATCAAGTCCTCCTTTGACAAAAAGGAATAATTATATTCATATTCTAGATTTTTGGGGCATTACCTAATTGAAACTGAATGTTTAATAAATGAAATTAGTTGTGGCATAAAAATTACTTCCAAAAATAATATTTAACTTTAATTTAACATAGATGTATAAAACTATAGCTCCCACAGAGACATTCCAAGACACATGAAAAAGTTTATAAAAATTGAAAACACATTAGTTCACAAAGAAAGGCTCAAATATTCTGAAGTACCTTTAAAAAAAAAACCTACATTTTGAGGGTGTGTCAAAAGTTTAACAAAAGATAGCTAACAAATACATGTTTTAGAAATTGACTCATGAGTTAAAGAGCCAGTAATCTACACAGATATAATTGTTTATGAAAATTCAGTATACAAATCAATTACATTTCTATACATTAGGAAAAAATTTAGAATATATTTAAAAAGCTATAATCAATAAAAGCATCAAAATATAAATTACCTAAATATTAGTCCAATTAAATATGTACAAGACCTTTGTAGAGAAAATGACAAATTTTATTAGAACTTTGGAAAGAATTCTAAAAATTGAGAGATGCCATAGGATGAGTAGGAAAATTCAATATTGTAACTCTTTATTTTTTTATTTACTTATTAATTTAAGGATTCAGTGCAATAGCAGTCAAAATCTTAATTTTTTGTGTGAATAAAAAGCTAAATTTTTACATTCGAGAACCAAGGATTAACAATAATAGAAACACTCCTAAAGGATAAAAGTGGTAAATTTGAATTAAGGTTGCATGCTATTAGCACAGAGATAGACACACCAATGAAAAAGACTAGAGAATTCATGAAAAGACCCACATATTTATAGGACTTTGATATATGACAGTGCTGGCATTGAAAATCTGTGGTTGTTGTGGATTGTATCTAGATGTCTCCCAAAGCCTCATGTGGTCATAGAGCTTTTTGGTACCTGGATCTAAGGTTTGTGCTGCTGGGATCAAAGACATGATGCTGGGATTGATTCAAAGTGTGATGCTGAGATTAAGGGTGTGTGATTACTAAATTAGTCCACTGATTGGTTTGGCATAGTTCTGGGTATGAGTTTACCCATCCTAACTAGGGCGTATCTGCCATAGAATATAAAGGGAAAGAAAGAAGGTGCTATTTTCCCCTATACTTGGTGCCTTCTGCCTTCTGCTTTCTGTCTTCTGCCTACCATGAATTGTTTCTCCTCTGCAGTGTCCCATTGCAATGCCACCCTGCCTTGGAGCCAGCGGATTATGGATTGAAACCTCTACAACTGTGAGCTAAAATAAATCTTTCCTCCTTTAACTTTGAGTATTGGATGTTTTGTCTCAGCAATGAGAAAAGTAACTAATACAGTGGTGTTTGGAGTCTTTTCAAGAAATTTTAATAAGATAAGTGTTATGCATATGAAAAAAATTGAAGTTAGACGCCTCACTCAACTTCACACAACGTCAGGGAGATAAACGACTTGAGCTTTAAAGGCAAAACTAAATATTTGAAAGGTGTATGTGATCTATATGCTTTTGAATTAGAGAAATTATTTTTAACAGTATAGTAATGAAAGTGAGTCAGCTAACAACTGTATACAACAAAACATAAAAAACAGAAAAATAAAAAACATATTGTTTAAGGAGAGAAACTTTAAAAAAATGGTAAACATAAAATTCAGGATCATAGTCACTCTGAAGGGGAAGACACCAAAAGGCCTTCAAAGATATAGGATAGTTTTCTCAGAGAGTGAAAACATTATGCTGTTGTTCCTTACAGCTTATACATTTCCTAAAGATTCTTTTTTATTTTTTATTTATTTTTTTTTTTTGCAATACTGAGGATTGAACCTAGAGCCTTTGCACTGAGCTACATCCCCAGCTCTTTTATTTTGGACAAGGTGTTGCTAATTCACAAAATTGCACAAGCTGAGATCAAACTTGGGATCCACCTGCCTCAGCCTTCCATAGTGCTGAAACAAAATTTAGTTTTAATATTTGCAAAAAGCAAATCATATTTGTAATACAAAATATTGAGAATTAAACAATAATTAAAGCATTATAAAGCTTGACAGTACAAAATTTGTGACAGCAGCTGGGTGCCTACTGTGTATCTGGCACTGTCCCATCCACTGGGGATATAAGAAGAAACTTGGTCTTCTAGAACTTCTGTTTGAAGGAGACAGATAATAAAATCAATTTCTAAATATTACACTGTACTAGAGGTTGATGGGGGAAAAAAAGAGAATAGCATACAGTGCTGTATAACCAGAAAGAACCCATTTTTGCCCTCCATTCGGCCCTACATCAGAGTCCAGTCCTCTGTTCTCAAAAGAGCTATTTTAGCAACCTGTAACTTCACATCCTTAACATTCCTTCTCATGTCTTTGGATCCAAGGCACTGGTCCTGTCCTCTCTGGCATCTCTTCTCCCTCCTTCTAAACCACACTTTTCCCTTTAAAAATACCATGACCCTTCCTCCTGGTTCAGATCTTCCTTTGTCTTGCCACTGTCCCTCTTAACCATGTACTCTGATCTAAATAAATTCTTGTCTCTATTTTTATTTGGTCTTGGTAAATTCTTTTATTACCCCTGTCACCATGCCTCTGCAATTAAGTCTCACAAGGTGTCTTAGTTACTTTTTGTGTTGCTGAGACAAAATACCCAACACTTATAGGAGGAAAAGTTCATTTTGGCTCACAATCTGTAGAGGTTGCAGTTCATAACTGGCTGGTTCCAAGGCAGGGTGGCATTGCAGTGGGGCATCATGGAGGAAAAACAGTTCATGGTGGGCAGAAGGCAAGAAGGCAGTGAAGTAGCAAGCAGAAAGCTACAAGCCATGGCAGCTGTCTTCTTTCTGTCCCTTATGTTCTATCCAGGATACATGCCCTTAAGATGGGTAGCACTTACACCCAGGGTGGGCCTTCCCATTATCCACATCCAGAACTATGCCAAACCAGTTAGCAGACTAATTTAGTAATCACACACCCTAAATCCCAGCATCACACACAAGATCCAGCCACCTCCAAAAAGGCCCACTTATGACCACATGAAGCTTTTAGAGAACATCTAGACACAAGCCATAACGTAAGACAAATAGTAAATGTTTGAGGGCATGGCAGGAAAGCTTCATTGAGAAGGTACATTCATTCAGCAAAGACCTGAAGGAAATGAAGATATGAGCCATGTAAATATCTGTGGACAAAGAGTTCCAGACAAAGGGGACCATTAGTGCAGTGGCTCTGGAAGGGGACTGTGTTGAGTTATTGAGGCAAGTGTGGCATAAGTAGTATAAACAAGGGCAGTGGGGTCCCTCTGGATTGTTGTGAGGACTCTGGCCTTTACTTTGACTTATGATAGGGAGAGGATAGAGGTTTTTGAGCAGAGGAGGGAAGTGATTTGTCGTTTTTAGGGGAAGGGACAGTACTGAGGACTAAACCTAGGGCCTTTACACTCAACTACGTCCTCAGACCTCTGTTTTTCTTTCTTTTTTTTGAGACAGTCTTGCTAAGTCCCTAAGTTGCCCAGGCTGGGCTCCAACTTGTGATGTTCTTGCCTCACCCTCCCAGAGTACTTGGATTATAGACAGTCACCACCACTCCCAGCTATGACTTTTGTCTTTAAAAAAAAAAATAAGAAACAGAATCTCTGTATTTGGGGTTGAGAGTTGACTGACGAGGGCAAGGGCAGAAGCAAGACTCAATATTATAATGTTCTAGTAGATAGATATTAGTGGCATGGGCCCACATGGTAGTATAGAATAGGTGAGAAATATAGTCTTGGTATATTTTGAAGGACATATTGATTAGATATGGGGTAGGAAAGGAATAGACAAAGAATATTCCATTTTTGCCATAGTAACTATAAGTATGGAATTATCTTGAAATGGAGAGATGATTGTAGAAAAAACAGATTTGAGGGAAAATATTAGAAACAGTTTTGTAATGTTAACTTTCAAGGTGGCTTTTAGATGTTCAAGTGAGTATGTACAGTAGCAGTTGGATATGAGTCTGGAGATCATGGCAGAGGTCTGGACTAGACATAAATTTGGTAGTTACTTACATAGAATCAGTGTTTAAAGCCAAGAGATAAAAGAACTCACCTAGAAAATAAGTCTACTTAAAGCAGAGGTTTAGAGATACCTCCACAGTACCCCAGTATTAGGAAGTTAAAGAATTAAGAGGAACCTACAGAAGTGGATAGGAGTGGTCAGAGAAGTAGGGGAGAATCATAACTTATATTGATGTCTTTGAAAGCATAGTTTTAGTGTAAAGAAGAGAATGAAAGTTTGAAATTGGTTTAAGAGGAAATAGAAGGAGGAGAATTAGAACCAATAGCATTTTTACAAAGGGAACAGAAATTTTAAGTGGAAGGGTAAATGAGGCCAATAAAAGGCTTTAAAAAAAAAAAAAAGATCACGCTTGTGTGTTGATGGCAATGGTGTAGAATTTGCGCAGAAGGAGGCCTGGGACAAAGACTCTGAGAAGGCAAGAAAGTCAGGGACCCAGTTCACAAAAATAAGACAGGGATATAAAAATTCTTCTATAGACTCTGGAGGAAAGATAATAATATATGGGTACCAGGTGATTGTATGAAATAGGTATAGTAGTATAAGCTTATGGAAGTGCTCATCTGATCACTGTATGCGCTCACTGAAGTAGGAAGCTAAATAATTAACTGAGAGTGAAGATGGAAGAGGTGTTAGAGATTTGAGGATAAATTATGGAATAGTCATTTGAGAGTATGGGAGAATCAATGGGCTAAGGAAATAAGATTGCCAAATGGGGTTCCCTTTGAAGTTCATGCCGTTACTGTGAAAAAAAAAGTACTTAGTAGACATTTCTGAGGCCTTACTCAGATCCTGGTTTTCTATTATTTCTGTTCACACTGAGCTGTGCTGGGTTTGCAATAGCCAGCAAGTGTCACTCTTTGTTTTTGTTTGTTTCTTTTCTTTCTTTTCTTTTCTTTTTTTTTTTTTAGGAACTGTCCTTGGGCTATTGGAGCCTCCTTTGTCCTGAATATTGTGATGTTTGAGATAGCCCTTAACCAATTCAGAAGTATTAAATCTCCATCATCCTCACTTCAGAGATAAGACAACTCTTGAGTGTACCTGACACATAGTTCTTATACCCCAACCCCTATATACATATCCCCTGAGATCAGGCTTACACTACCCTCTAAGCAACTTCATCTTACAGCATATCCTTACTTGGCTTTCTCTCTGCTTCCTCCAATTCCTTATTAGTTTCCCAAGATTTCCTTTTGTCACTTGTACTGACGGAGCCAGCCGTCACTAGACGAACAGTACCTGAGGAGAGGGGTGAGGATTAAGAAGGACAACACCAATTCGAGAAAAAAGGAAAAGGAGAGGGAGAGCCTTCTCCTTCCCCCTTTATTGAGCCTTTTTATATATCCCTCTTCCTCACCCACAGCCTCCCTCCCTTCCTCCCCTCATGACCTGGTGACTCGTTTTTACAGAGAAAAGGTCAAGTATATCTTTACAATTCCGGGAATGTTACTTTTTTGTCTAGCAGACATAAAAATTCTTATTATTTTCTTTAACAGTCAATATCCTTATTTTTGTACCAGTTTCATATCCTGGCTCATTATATTATCTGACTCAAGAATCTCAAGAGGCTCAGGAGTCTTTCAGGGTTGTTTCAACCCTTCGCTCTCCACATTGTACACATTTTTTTTTCCCCAGGGTCTGTTTCTCAGGAACCTAACCTAGAATAAAAATTATGGTTGTGCATTTCTTCTTCCACCTACCTTTAGTTATATGGCTGTAGGTAGAGAATTGAATCTAAGAAGGAAGATAATTTTGCCAAGCAGATACCATAAAGCGAGAAAAGAAGTGTACTAAAGATGTACAAGGGAGCAGTTAGATAATTTTTACCACTACATTTAAGCTAGTCAAGGAAGGAGATGATGAAGAGAGGTGAGACAAATGTAGGCCCAAGAACTGAAGGATTGTTGGAACCAAGGTACTAACAGAAGTGATTGGAAAAATAGGAGATCAGAGACAGAAATGCTTACAGAGTAGGATTATATAGTGCTTGAATTGTGGACATTTACTAGGTTCCAGGGCCTAATAACTCAGAATGAGTGCTGACGTAGTGTTCAGCAGGAACAAAAATGGATGGAGCTGACCGCTTTGAGTGTTAGAAGGGACATGTATGGGGATCCTGAAAACATTAATAATTAATGTAAGAATAGCATTAAGGAGAGTAATTGTGAGTCAAGCTGCAATCCTCAAGAAATGAGGAGGAATGATCTGAGAGGTAGTGAGTGACTGAAAGTAGAGTAGAGGGTGTCAAAGTCTTATGACATGAGATTCAAAGGTGGAAGGCATTTAAACAGTAGGAAGAGCAAAAAGTCTAGAAGTGACAGTAAGCATCAGGAAGGATACATACTCCATCTCTAGGCCCACTGGATGGCTAATGTGGGAGAAACATCTACTACTTAGAAAGCTTGTAGAGGAAACAGGGTCCTCGTGGAATATTCATGATTTAGAGCAAGAGGGTGAACGTTCTATTCAGAGAAGATATTGAGAGTATATGGGATTGTGAAAGAACATGAGTGCCAGGGGCCAGGGGTACAGCGGAAAGACATCAAGAGTTAGGGTATTGTTGAGGAGTGGGAGAACAAGACAAAATAGGGAATATGCAGACCCTTTTGGGAACTATGATACAGTAGATGCGTGGTGATAGGGATTTGGGACTTCTTGTCTTAATAACATAAACAAGGATGGAAAGCACAGTGTGACCAATTCTGGTGGTCTCAAGGCAGCAGTACTATTCGTGAGAGGAAATGGGAATCAGTAGGTATTTGGGGCTAAGGAAGGACAGTCTTCTAGCAATGCACTAGACTTTTTCCCCCAATGGTTCCAATTTTAAAATATTTTGTTCTATGACATGAATTGCATTTTCTACTTACTTAGCATATGGGTAAAATGCACTGTCTGCTTTTTCCCTATATATAGTCAGATATTCAAAACATCTAGTGATATATTACATAGCATTTTAAGTAGGATTTTTTAAAAGCCACCAAAATAACTTTTTACAAATCAGAGTCCTTCAGATGTCACAACTCTGTTCATAGTCCAACTTTTTATTGTGTTTTGGTTGGCTTCGTTTGTTTTTGTAGTCATGGTTCCAGTGGAAGAACCCCACCCCCAAAGATGTGCACACACTCCCTAGGAAGCCCCTAGTGAAGTACCTACATTGGTGCCTGCTCTCTGGCCACTGTGATATTGGGGGGGGGTTGGGCCTTCTCCAGCTCTATGTGCTGGTGTTAAATTATTTTCTCAGTTATCTGATTCTTGACTAGCTGATTTATAATTCCATTGCACTTGTCAAGAGCTATCTGGTAGGCTTCATTTGGGATATCTCTCGTCTTCTGCCGTGTCCTGTTAAATACATAGAATCTGAGCAATAGGGAATGTTTCACCTCTTTGTCTCATCTTCACCTATGTATGCTCATTGTTTTCCATGGTCAAACATCACATCATTGGGCTTTAAATCTTTCTCTCCTTTCCTGATCTCTTATCTACAGCAGATATCTTTGAGATGCTTTGGCATCAGTATCATACTTTCAACCTGCAGAAATCTAAGGAGTGCTAGAGGGATGCCTGTGAGTTCAGATTTGCTAAACAGAGCATTATCCTTCATCACCACTCTCTCAATTTCATGAACATGAATGTGTACACCGAACTGATTGTCAAAGTAGATGGTAAAGGTCTGAGGCTCCTTGGTATAAACAGTCGCATTATACTTGATCAGAATACTCATGACTGTACCATTCTCTTCAATACCAACAGAAAAGGAGTTATATCAAACAGCAGCAAATCTCAATATTTTCAGATTTCTTTCTGGACAAGAGATAGTATGACTGCTATATAGCTACAAACATAATGGGCTCTTATCAGGGTGATTTTGTTTTCAATTCCTTTCTGTTAAAAAAGGTTTTGTAGAAATTTTTCTGCTTGGAGATGCAAGAAAAGTCACTGATAAGATGATTCCACAATTCTGTGCTTATCTGTCATGATGTGGTGCCTTGATCTTGGACTTCTAGGCTCCAGAACTGTGAGAAATGAATTTTTGTTTCTTATAAGCTACCTAGTGTTTGGTGTAGAAGCCTGAGTAGACTTCTTGTCCTAGAGAGGACACAGGGGGAACAGAGGAAACTCTAGGCTGCTGCATGATTGCTGTGAGATTCTGCTGAAGAAATTCATTTGCTATGGCCCTGCCAGCATACTGCATTTCCTGTCTTTATATGCTTCTAAGTGAACCAGGGCAAAGGGTGACTGTTAAGAGTCTTGTAAGATTGATATCTAGTCAAAGTCATCTCCAACCAACTGAGCATTCCTGGCTGCATACCTCAGTGTAAAGATTCTAAATTTGTTAATGGAGGTTGGACAAATCAAAAGTGTCACCTTTTAGGTTATAGGTGAAAAAATTACTTTTAGCACCTTGTTCGAGTCCTCAAGACTAGTTATAACCATTGGCTCAGTGACATTTCTTACAGTGAGAACATCCATAGTCCAGGCTACTTGAAGTCCTGGCACTTGGAGTGGTTAAATTTAGCCACTGTTGTATTGATAATATTGGTGATTATCATCCAGTGTGAGGAGGCTTCTGCCTTTTTGTTGTTGTTTTATTAGAACTCTGGTAAATATTTCTTCAGAAGAAAAATTTTACACTTTTTTGGTTGTTTTTGAAATAAAAGTAATATAAAATTCATAATTTTAGCAGTTTTAAAGTATGTACTTCAGTTGTTTTCAGCATATTCACAATATTATGCAACCGTCAACACTATCTAATTCCAGACCGTTTTTGTCACCTCACAAAGAAACCTCATGCTTCCCAATTCCCTCCTTCTACATCCTCCATCAGCCATTAATTTTTTTTTTCAGTGCTAGGGATTTAACCCAGGACCTTCATACTGAGCTATATCCCCAGCCCTGTTTTTATTTTTTGTTTTGAGATAGACTCATTACTTTCTGTCATTGTAGATTTGCCTATTCCAGGCATTTCACAGAAATAGAATCACACAATGTGTAGACATTTGTGAATGGTTTCATTCACTTAGCATGTTTTCAAAGCTCATCCAGGTTCTAGCATGTATTAGCATTTCATTCCCATCATGGCTAATTAATATTTTATTGTGTGGATGTACCATAGTTTCTTTTCACTTGCTGATAGACATTTGAGTTGTTTCCAATATTTGTCTATTATAGTGCTGCTGTGAACAAATTTATGTACAAGTTTTTGTGTGAACTTTAAGTTCTCTGTATATATACATAGGATTGGCCTTAGTGGATCATATGGTAACTACATCTTCAATAAGAAGCTTCTAGTTTTCCCTTTATATTTCACTGATCATTTACTATCATGAAAGATCAGTGCTTCATAAATGGCTAGAGAACTACCTCATCAAAAATGCATCCAAGGGCCGGGAATTTAGCTCAGTGGTTCTGCTGCCCGCCCCGCAAGTGCAAAAATTTAGCTCGCGGGGCGGGGGATTTAGCTCAGTGGTTTCGCTCCCTGCTGCGCAAGCGCAAGGACCGGAGTTCAATCCCCGGTACCAAAAAAAAAAAAAAAAAAAAAAAAAATTTACCTCAGTGGTCCCGCTGCCTGCGCCGCAAGTGCAAACACCGGAGTTTGATCCCGGTACCAAAAAAAGAGAAAGGGAGGGAGGGAGGGAGGAAGGGAGAGAGAGAGGGAGGGAGAGAGAAGGATGGAGGGAGGGAGGGGGGAGGGAAGAAAGAAAGATGGATGCATCCAATCAGTCATTTGACATTTAAAAAAATGTTTGCAAGGATCATTGTCACCTGAGTCTTGGCAACATCACAGCTAAATTGCCCCATGTCACTAGAGACAGCATAGCTTGAGGTGGTGCTATTTCCTGACCATTGGCAATTGCCTCCACTTTCCTGTGATAAAAGCCACTCATCCAGGAAGAAGAGATGGTACCAAGATCAGTCCTCTCTGGTAAGAATGCTGGGGAGAATGTGCCTGGCCTGTAGCAGAGAGATGTAGACACTGGAGCTGCTGCTGCTTTCTTGCTTCTCATTCTTATTCTTTCTGGACAGAGGGTGGAGTCCCGAGGAGAAACTTCAAGGTTACTTTTTTTCCATTTTTACTCAATACTTCTGGGATTGAATTTTCCATTTATTTAGTTTAGGGTCTCTTTTATACTATTGAATTCTCCAAAAATTGGGAAATTCTTAACTTCCCATATTAGGAATAAAAGTATAGATCAAATAGTTTCATTAGCTGGGTTGTATGTCCTTAGACCATGTAAGAATATCTGTTCACCTGATGGGGAAAGCCAGTGCCCCATGCCTGTGAATTACCTAGGGCACCATTGTATGGGCCTAGCTACCCTCTCTGGAATTTCATTTGTCTCCCATTTTAGAGACCTGTATTCTGGTGCTAGCCTTGATGACACCTACAGAGGTTGTCACTCCAGGAGGGCAGAGGGCACTACTGTTCCAGCATCCATTAATTCTTTCCTAACTGATTTCCTACAAGCTCTTCCCTCAGCCTTTATTTAGGTACATGTAGGCATTGATCTAGGGGTGCTTCTGATAAAACATGATTTGCAGTTAGGGGTGAGGTCCACACTCCTACCCATGGGGTTACAGATTCCCTAGCTGCCAGTATGTTGCTATCTGTGTTTTTGTTGTTGTTGTTTTGATTTGAGGGTGTTGTTTGTTTGTTTTTGAAATACTGGGGATTGAACATAGGGCCTCACATATACTAGGAAAGCACTCTACCACTGAGCTACACCCAAGCCCTTCTCCTTTATTTTAGATTTTATCTTGAAAAATGTCTCACTAAGTTGCCCAGGCTGCTGCTGAACTTGAATCCCCCTGCCTCAGCCTCCCAAGTAGCTGGGATTACAGGCATGCACCACCACATCCAGCTTCGCCATCTGTTTTAACATCACCCAAATGCTCATGCTGTGATCTGCTGATAGCATTCCTGTTGGCTTTTCAACATTGAGATGGATTTATTTTCTTTTCCTGTTTCTTCTAGAATTTCAGTAGGATTTCAGGAAGAAAGAAAACATATTTTTACAGTTAACTTTTTCTTTGCTTTTATCTAGATCAGGACAGTCTAACCCAACCTTTTATCTACAGAAGGGCTTTCAAGCATATGTACTCAGGAAAAAACCACCAGGTTCACTTCTTCCTAAAGCACATCAGGTATGGCATATAAATACAATGTAAATTCTTTCAGATAAGAGAATTCTTTCATGATAAATGACTTTTATATACACATAAACAATTTAAATTGTTTTTAAAGGTGATTATATAGCTATTAAACAATAGAATATTCATCTTATTTCTAATTAAAATTTCACTTGAATTGTATCCCTTTTTGTTTTAAAAAAGGACTTGAGGTTCAAATCTAGGGTATCTTTAGGCTACTAATCTTGAACAACACCCCATCCTCTCCTGGGTTTGATTCCTCCCTGCACACTTAACTAGAAGTATAATCAGCCAATGAGTAGTTGTCAATACTAATTTCTAGATGTTTTGTCTCTGTTACATGTTTATTGTATTCAATAACAATATCTACTTGCTGTATTATTTTAATATATTTGCTGTAATAGTCCTCTAATCTGGCAATAAAAAGACGTGAATAAGCATTTTATAGCATTCTCTAAATATTAGACTTGTCAGTGAGGATTGTAAATGTTTTTAAGAACTAAGTTTTTCTAATTACCCTGAGTTGATCACTACTCAATGTATACATGAATTAAATCTCATAAATCTGTACAAATATCATATGTTGATCAAAAAATGTTTAAACCAAGTTTTTATATTTACAAAAATAGGATTATCTATGGAAATCAAAGTCCTGAGAACATGAAACAGCACTATGCATATTTAGGGTATTATTGTACTCATGCCTAACAGGTGTTTGCCAGGCCCAGCTCTCTAGGAAACAAACATTGTGAGATGGGATTAATACCACAATATAGAAAAATGTAGATATTGACTTTTTGGTCCCATTATATTCCCAGAAACATATAATTTGGGTGCTTAAGATTTTAAAATTGGGCAACTTTTATTAAATCTTAACATGGCATGGCTAAATGAGGATCTGCACCCATCCTCATAGATTTATGCCCAAGTAAACAATAATAAAATGTTTATAAACAGTAATACTTGGTTCTCTTCTTGATAGCATCCTACAAGAACACATCAGAACATAATATAATGTTCTCAACATAAGTATAGGTCTAAGGATCTAGAATACTTTGTTACTTCATTGATTTTCCCCAAATCTGCATTTTAAAAAGCAGTGCTCCTACTTTGCCATCCACTTTGTACCTGTTAGCTGGGGATGTAGTTCAGTGGTAGAGTGTTTGTCTAACATACATGAGGCCCTGCGTTCGATCCCAGCACTACACACGCACACACACACTGCCTCTGCCTCCCTGACTTCCTTATGCTTTTGCCCTACTCATTTCCTGGCACCAGGGTGATTATAAACATTTCCTTCTATAGCCATTGTCAATGCTGGTTTTTCTCTCCCATGGACTTGGGTTTAGTTATTTTCCTGTTGCAGTTATTGCAGAAGCAACTGCTTTACTCCCTGATGTAAGGTGAACCGAATGGTTTCCCCTCTCCAAAATGGCCAGTCACCATCGCCTGAGTCTGGAACAAGGTCTTTTCATGTAGATGAGCCATCCTTTCTTGGTCTGTACCACAGCCCTGCTCTTGTGGCCCTGTGATAGGCCCAGGGATCTGCCCAGGCTAAGGAGACCAGTTTCTTCTACCTTATTTGGGCTCCGGCTTCAGGACCTGTTTGCTTCTAGTTGCCTATTTTCCCAGTAGTTATGTTGAGGTCCACAGCATCCCCAGGTACCAGGGAGGATCCTCAAACTCCTGCCTTGGAAGTTCATGCCCCCTTTGATCTCCAGAAAGGGAGGGTACTTTTCTCTTCCCATCACTCATCTGCCTCCCCCAGCTCCTACACCCGACTGTGGTTGAGCCCTGAAAGAGACTTGTCTGAACCTTGTTGGGAGATATGAAAGAATGAGAGCAAGCCAATTAGCAGTAAACTGCTGAGAACAAAGGAAAGATTCAGGTGAACACCTATGAAATACTCTGGCCATGAGGCAGGTGATAACTAAAGAAAAGGCTAGAAAAATAAAGGACGGCTGCCCTGCCTTGGAGCCTGCTTTCTAGAGCTAGATCCACCTTCTATGTTAAACATTAGCTTAGGACCAGGACACCCAGATCTAATTATAATGGGAAAAGTAACCAGGGAACTTAGTTTACCACAGTAAGTCTCTTGTCCAACCCATCCCTAATTACCATGTCATTGAGTATGCAGATTTGACCCAACCTCAACCCCTTGGCCTTTGGACCACCCCACACACAGAGGGGCTGAGTTAAACTGGTCATTGGCAGGAGTCTACCTCAGTCCAAACTCTCAATCACACCCTAAACTCTAAGGCTTAAAACCCTTGACAGCAAGCTCCTCTGGGTCTGAACTCTTCTCGCCGACCTACTCCTACCCTGTGGAATATATCTTGCTTTTGATCTTGGGGCTACTTATGGGTGTTATGCTCAATTCTTTGTTTAGGACATCAGAAACCTGCACCCCAGCCTAGCAACAGTCAGAAACTATTGACTTCACATGTCCAGAGCCAGGATTAAACCCCATCCAAGTGGCCATCCTTTTACCCTAATTAAATTATTAACTTTTTAGAGCTGGTCTAATTTCTAATTATGATGATTCCATTTCACTGTGAAAGAAATTATTACTGTCATCCTCTGGATTATTGATACTATTTTACAACTGATTTCTACTCTTAGTTAATGTTAGCTCATAAGTAGTAACTAAGTTTCTGTTTTGATTTTTAATAATCCACATGCTGTTTAGATTGATAGAGAATTTAAAGTCCAGAAAACCTTGTTTGCCATTGGATTCCCTGTTCCCAACCCTTTACTGTACTGCAGCGATGCGTCTGTCATTGGAACAGAATTTTATGTGATGGAACATGTGCAGGTGAGTTAATTTTATTTTGTTGTTGCTTTATTTTTAACTATGAAGTTAATTATACTGTTTTATTAAATGGAATTTTATTATATTTATAAATGATAATTTATTCAACATTTTAATCTGTTTTGCAAAGACTTAAAATTTTGTTTCAGCTTATGCACACACAATGAGGGAGAACTGGAATGAGGAACAAATTTAATAATTAGGGCATATTGACTGATTCTTTTTTATTATTCATTAAGTTTATTGGTACATTTTAGATATACAATATGATGACATTCATCATTGGGAATTTGTACCTTTACATGATATATCTTGTTCTTATTTTTTCCCCATTCCCCTGCCCTCCCTTCAACCCCTCCACCCCTCCCTATTTACAAAGACTTTGTTTCTGTGTTTTCCTTTTCTCATATTTATTCCTTTCCCTTTTTTTATTTCCCCTATCCCTCCCACTTCCCCTTCCCCTTTGGACCTTTTCTTCCTATTTCACATTATCTATTATACATTTTGATCCTTGTTTACACTTTCAGTTTCTCATACCAGAGTAACTATTCAGTATTTACACATATGTGTCCTATTTATTTCACTAAAGAGTATGGCCTCAATGTGCATCCATTTAACTATAAATGTCTCTAGTTGCTCATTCTTTATGGCTGAGTAGTACTCCATTTTATAAAAAACCCACATCTTCTTTATCCAGTTTCCAGTTGCTGGGCACTTGGGCTGTTTCTGAGTTTTAGCTATTACAAACTGTGCCACTATAAACATGGGTGCGCATATATCTATGTGGTATGATTCTTTTAATTCTTTTGAGAAGATACCCAGCAGGGGTATAGCTGGGTCGAATGGGACCTCTAATCCTAGTTTTTTGAGGTATCTCCATACTGATTTCCACAGTGGTTGCACCAATTTACACTCCCACCAACAATGGAGAAGGGTTCCTTTTTCCCCACAACCCGACTGATTTTTAACTTTTCTTCTAGGTGGCAGTAAAGAGCTACCTATAATGGCAATAACCAAATGTCCAGAAGGTAGGGAGAGAAACTGACCACCCAACAGAAAAAAGATTAAACCATTAAGAATAAATTTAAATTGGTTTTTAAAATTTTTTTAATAAAATTCAAGCTGGGAGTAGTTTGTCCTTTAAGTTCATCTTTGCATATGCTTGTATTTTCCCTTTGGCACATACACTCTTGTACATATTTCACAAATGAATGTATTTCTCATGTATTCCACAAAGTATTGATTTCAGTTGCCAGACATTTAAATTGCCTGTTATAATCACTTCCATAGGGTCGAATCTTTCGTGATTTCACACTTCCTGGAGTTAGCCCAGCAGAACGCTCAGCCATATATGTGGCCATGATAGAAACTCTGGCTCGGTTACATTCCTTGAACATACAATCATTGCAGCTGGAAGGATATGGAACAGGTATAGGGTACTGCAAAAGACAGGTAATGCATCCATATAAAAAACTACTTTTTTAAGTTCTTAAAAATACATATTCTGTATATTATTGGTCAAAATAAAAACCTAGTGTGTAGTTTTCTGAGACTTTGCTATTTTAAAATTATCCTTCAGATTGACTTTTTAGCATAAAATAATTTTATTCCCTAGTTAAGGTTTATGCAGCCAAAGGTTCTGTTTCAGATTCTTCACTTAATTTACCAGTATATTTTCTACCTAGCTTTCTGTTTCTTGGTTATGTTAGCAGACATTTATTAAGTTTTACTAAGTGTTTAATTCTTGAGTACTATGTTAAATATTTTTTTAAATGGGAATAGATTCTTCCTCCAAATGAACTGTGATCATTTTTGAGAGACTTCTACATGAAGCTCATATACATGAAATTTGAAAATGGTATAATTTAGTAATAATTATTTGATGCTTATCACAAGAGATGTACCATCCAGAAAGTGGAGACTGGTATGTCCTTGCATAAGGAATGCTTCCTAGGAAAGGTGTGTCTTACAATGACTAAGGAAAGATAAAATTTAGAGTGATAAGGAAGAGATGGTGAGCATTTCAGTCAAAGGAAAGCAAGACCAGACATGTATGGGCATGTTTCTCTTTGTAAGCATGTCATTTGCGGGCTGCTGAGAAAAGAAGGGAACTAAATTTTACAGTGCACTTATTATAAGCCAGGTCCTGTCCTAGGTGAGCTGTGGTCATTTTTTAATCTTTATGGCAATAAAGCACAGGTATTATTACTCCCATTTTGCAAGTGAGGAAACTGAGGCTTACTGGTTTAGACATAATTTAAACAAGGAATACACAAGTATCTAATTTAAACCTTAGATATAATTTAAACCTAGGTCAATATGACTCCAAAGATAAAGATTTTTGCTTATTGCATTAAGTTGAGCAGAGATAGATTAGAAAATGGGAGCTATAAATAATATGGCTCCACTCATTAGAGGACTCTTGAAAATAGATAGATTTGCTTACTTTTAATTCTAAGAATGATTGAAAGCCTTTGCACTACACATATCTATAGTACATTTAGAAGATTCTGTGGGGGCCGGGGATTTAGCTCAGTGGTTCCGGCGCCTGCCTTGCAAGCACAAGGTCCCAACTTCGATCCCCGGTACCAAATAAAAAGAAAAGAAAAAAAAAAGAAGAAGATTCTGTGGGTATTCTGTGGTAAAGGGAATTAAAATTTTAAAAAACTCTTCTCCTCCTAAACTCCATATTTCCATTCTCAGGGTTTATTTATTTCTTGTGCCTCTTCCCGGAAATTTCCTAAGTGTGTGTCTTCCACAAAATAATTCCTCAATAAATATTACAGCCCACATCTCTTGATGCCTAAGTCAGTGTTTGTGTATTCTTTTCCTGATAAAAAATTAAGTAAAATGAAACTAGATGGAAGAGAGTCTTAAATGTTTAAGATTTTAGCCTGATGTGAGCTTCACATACAGGTATTTTTCTTGACCACTTTAGCAGTAACAAAATTTGATATAATTAAATTTGTTTAATTTTAGAATTGCTGAATTTTACATTTTTCTTTCAGTTCTGTGACTTTTCTTGTTTGTATCTTTCAGGTATCTACCTGGACAAAGCAGTATCAGGCTGCAGCTCATCAGGACATCCCTGCCATGAAACATCTATCTGAATGGCTCATGAAAAACTTGCCAGATAATGACAATGAGGAGAATTTGGTTCATGGAGATTTCAAACTCGATAACATAGTTTTCCACCCTACAGAGGTACTGTTACTGGTTACAATAAATTGAGTAGGTCTGATTTTCAACAAGTACAAAGTAGATATTCTATTCCCTCCACCCCAAGGACTGAAGGAGCCCAGCTCAACCCCAGAGTTCCCCTTTAGCTCATGGCTGTCTTCAGGCTCAAACTTCTAGAAATGAATCCTGCAGGTTTTCTAGCCTACGTAGCTGCCTATCTTTAAGGCATCTTATTGACTACTTAAAAAGGATTTGGAATTTTTATATGCATGTCCCTGTTTTCAAAGGTTTTTATCTACTACTTAGAATGTCAAGATTATCCATGCACTTGCTCTTTTTTCTACTCTGTTTACATTTCTTTGGTTTCTTTTGTCACGCATCATGAAGAATTTTTAATTTGTTTATTATAAGCTCAGAGAAGAAAGAATTCCAGAAGCCTCTTTTGAGGCTTCACAAGAATTGCATAAGATTAATGTAAACTTAGTCTGTGTAAATGTACTCAGTGTATGCTTCATAAAGATACAAGCAAATCAAAGATTTAGTTTCCTGAATCTTGCTTCTTAGAGGAGTATTTTGGGGGTTCATTAGCTTTATTACGATGCTAAAAAGGTTTTTTTACAGCGAAAGGAGTTACTCTAAATTTATGTATTATATTTCTGGGTTTCATATTCCTTCTCCTAGGAAAAGTACAGGGGAAAATACCATTATAAATTGCATTGTCATAATTCAAAGTAATACATCAACTGAAAGGCCAAGAACACCTTGAAGTGAGCACACTTACAAGCAGAACAGAAAACTTTTATAGAAAAGTTAGTTTGGATATTAAAATTATGTATAGATAGATACTCAGTTTACGGTGGGGTTGTTCTAATAAACCTATTATAAGTTGAAAATGCATTTATTATACCTAACCTACAAATACTGTAGTTTAGCAACACTGTGCACAGAGTAATGGTTGTTTACCTTCATGATGACCTGACTGCAGCTCACTGCCAATGCCTAGCATTGCAAGAGAGAAAGTATTATACGGTTTATCACAAGCCCAGGAAAACATCAAAATTCAAAATTTGATTTATGGTTTTTACTTAATGCATAAGGCCTTTGCATTATGATTAACTCAGAAAATCTAAATCTGGCCAGTATGGTCATATACACCATAATCCGAGCTAATTGGGAGGCTGAGGCAGGATGATTGCAAGTTCCAGGCCAGCTTGATGAGACCAAGTCTCAAAATAGAAATTTTAAAAGGGCTGGAGATGTAGCTCAGCACTTTCTCATTTCAGTCCCCAGTACTACACACCCTTGGTTCAATCCCCAGTGCTGCACAAAGAAGGGGGGAGGGGAAGGAGAGGAGGCTTGGAGAAAAGGAGAAAGAAGGAGGATGCTTGTGTATCTTTTGGTTAATGGCACTAATAAATTCTAAACTTTTTCTGTATTCTTTAGAGAAATATTAAAATATAAGTAAATCTTTCATAATATGCACTAAAACAGTTTTGGAGGAGATGGAATTAGGATTTATAGTTATATATTTCTGTAAGGTTTAAGGTTTTTTAAATTTGTTTTTTAAAGCAACAGCAGTGTTTTATTTTTATCACCAGAAGACACAACAATTAAGAAATAAAACAAAAGTAGTTTTGGATGACAAACCTTCCAGGAATTTATGAGTTAAGTCAGTACAAGGTTGCTAAAGGGTAGAACAAAACAAAAACATATTACTTGGTTTTGAAATCTCTGGTTAATTATTTGTAAAGTATTTGAAGCATGTTTGAGTATTTTAGTTATACAACATGCTCACTGCAGTGTTTGAAAAAGAAACCCTTTTCCTGGAAAATGTTAATGATATTTTTTCCAAATGTAAAAAAACTGATGAAGAAATGTATAAGCTTTTGGAACTTTATGTAAAATCTGAATGTTGTCATTTCAATTTGAAAAACATTTAAGTAAGAATATATAAATGCAAAAACCAAGATACATCATGTAAATGTACAAGATCCCAATGATTAATGTAACTGTATTGTATACCTAAAATGTACCAATAAACTTAATTTAAAAATATATATACATATAAATACAAAGCTAATTCATCTGCATTCATTAATGTTCAAAATATACTTATAATAATAGATGTAAGTATCCTGCTTCTTCTAAAGTCATCTGACTTGCAGACTTTTGTATATTAATTTATGAAGAAAAAAATATATATATAACTTGTACTTTTAATGGATTTTTCATTTTAATTTCCTCATTGTCTCAACATCAGTGTAGATGGAGAAAAGCATAATTAAAAAGTTTAATTTTATAGCTAGAAAAGACGGGAATTTTTTTAACCTTTTCACTTTATAGACATTTTAAAAATATTCTCAGATAAATGCTCTTTAGTGGTTGGCTTAGTCCGTTTGGACTGCTATAAAACAGTACTATAAACCAAGTGACTTAAAAAACAAACATACATTTCTCATACTTCTGGAGGCTTCTAAGTCCAGGATGCAATTGCTGACAGAGCCTAGGTCTGGTTGAAGGCTCTCCTTCCTGAGTCCTCACTTGGTGGAGAGTGGGAAGGAAGCAGTTGGGGAGAGTGAAGGGGGCAGGGAGCAAGTTCTCTCCTGCCTCTTATAAGGGCACTAATCCCATCATGAGAGCTCCACCCTCATGACCTCCTTACCTTCCAATGGCCTCACTTCTCAATGCCATTTACTGGGGGTTAGCATTTCAACATATGAATTTGGGATCCACAAACATGCAGTCCACAATAGTGGAAAACTGAGGATTTGAACTCAGACCTGCAGACTTCTGATGTTGTATACTTCCTCTGCACTTACTACTTCTCATCCACTGGAACTGGTCAGCTCTAGTGATCTAGACATTGAAGTCCCTTGTCTTCAAGTATATCCTCTTTATGTTTTATTCCTTTATTTCTTTATACCTCTTTTGAGATGCTATAAGTTTCCCTGTTCTTACTTTAGACTCTAAAGTAAGAGTCTTCATGACTTCAGTTTGCTTCTTACCCTGCAGGGGCACATGGTCATAATCCATTATTTCAAATGCTACCCTCTTTACTATCAATTTAATTAATGGTTTTAGATTGTGTATATATGCAAGTAATATGAGAATTATGAAGTTCCCTGACTGTAGGTCACTTATTCCAGAATCTTTTTAGCCCTTGACATTATGCACTCTCTGAATTTGAGTCATGCTGAATTTGCTGCATAATTTCATCTAAACTCTAACTTCATCTCAGTAAACTAGGTGACTTTTAAAATTGCTTTTTTCAAATCTTCTCCATTCTTCTCCAGCCTTCAAGTTGCTGGTTCCCTTCTAGTCTGTCACTCTCAGCACAGGGTCTTGCCTTCCACTTGACTTTTTCCTCCTAGTCACCTTCCAGCACAGCTGCTTTCTAGGCATTACATGTCCCTTGAAGACTTCTTGATATTGTAGAAGACTTCAGCCCTCTACACAATATCCTCTTCAGGTGGATTGGTGGGTGACATTTTTATTAAACCTCATTGCCAAAAAGTCTCTCTTGATCAGCTGGGTTGTTTATAGTCTGCATACACTACTCTTAAGTATTGTATGGCCATGCTTCTTGCTTTATTTTGTCAATTAGAAAACTCATAATAAATTTTACTGCCTACCTTAACTACATATGACCTATGACATTCAATTTTATGTAAAAATCTTACTCCTAACATCCTATTTATTAAAAGTTCTATTGTTTCATTCCCTGCTTCCATATACCATTTATTCTGAGGAATTGCATGCTTCTTTTGCTTTGAAAAGTAATTCACATACTTAATAGAATTCAATAGTGTGAAAAACACAGAAAAAAATAAACTCTCTGTAGAAGATAATCAACAAAATGAAAAGCTTTTCATTGTGCTGAGATTTTGGAAAAACTATCAAAAATAATTTTAGTAAGTTCTTCACCTCCACAAAGATGGATAATATATGTTGATCTCACCCACTAGAAGTTATGCCAAGCTTTCTATAGCCATGAAGACACATAGGTGTTGACAGGATTCTAATTATTGCTAATTAATGAACACTAATTTATGCAATTTGATGGACCATCAACTTTTCTGACTAACCATTGTTATTAATTACTTAAATCCGTCAGATATCTTAAAACTTCAGAAAACTAATTTTCATTTAGAAATAAAACATTTATGGTATAAAGAAATGTCTCATCTTTAGGTGTTAAGAACATAACAAATAGAATGCTATAAGAGAAAAATGCATCTGTTTTTAATATAGCATAACAATGTAGGTAGTTTAGTAATTTATAATGTGCCATAACCACAGAAATAAAAGGTTTTATAAAATGAAGTCATGGAGAAGGGACTAGCCAGGATTTTCCATAGCAAATTTTTATTGCGAGCTCTGTACTCACTGAAAACATGTTGACCACCTACTATGTGGCAGGTGATTTGGTAGTAACTGGTTAACAGGACAGATAAGCTATCTGCCTTCATTTATTGTCTCTTTACACTAACCTTATATAAGCCATGTATTTTATGGATGAGAAAATTGAGGATCTGAGGGGTTACCTTGTCCAGACTTACATAGCCAGTAAATGGCAGAGCTAGCACTTAAATATGGGTCTGCCTGTTTCAAAGCCCATAGTTTCCCGCAAAGCTACAGTGAGAGGAATAAGTTTGCCAGAGAGGAAAAGGAGTATAAGCACACAGAGTTCATAGAGGCATGAAACCCAGTAATTTGCATTGCCCAAATGGGCTGTACTGTTTTATCTGGCTTGGATTATGTGCCTAAGTTATTACAGCAGTCTCCTCCCTGGCTCCCTAGAGTCTATCCAAATCATAGTGTCTAGAGGAGCCTTTCAGAATCAAATCATGTCCTGTCACTCCTCGGTACAGAAATCTCTGTGCCTCATTCTTCTTGCCTCAGTTCATTGAAATAGAGCTATTGCTATCAACCTGATGTATCCTTCCATTGCATATTCATTGATAACCTTTTTCTTTAAACAAGATGTTGTGACAAAAGGGTTAAAATTCTAAGCAGCAAAGCTTCTCTGTTGACACAGCCCAGCACATACTGGGCAGTCATGAGACACTGCCTGAATGCTGACTAAAACAGCACAAAATAAACATAGATATAGGACCTATTCACTCCTCCCACCAAGCCCTGACCCATCTTCCCTCAAAGAGTTCATGTGTGTGGATCACCTAATCTGAAACTAGAGGGGCTTCTGTGAGACCTGAGCAAATGGCCTTGTCAATTGGCAACTTGAATGTACAGCTTGAGATACAATACAGGTGTCCCTAAAAGATCAGCCAGAACAGGTGACCCAGAAAGAGCATTCCTGAGATATCTAGATTTGCTGCCTAGGGCTGGGGATTTAGCTCAATGGTGCCACACCTGCCTCACAAGTGCAAGGTCCTGAGTTTGATCCCCAGTACTGGAAAAAAAAAATGGTACATAGATTTACTGCCTAGACCCTTTTCCTATATTCTGAGGGCTTTATAAAAACCCTAATCTCTTAACCCTCATGACATGACTCCTCCCTTGGCAACTTGCCTGCTGTCCCTCTTGACAGTATACTTTTCTTATTCTGATCTTGGTATATTTCTTTTTATCATCCACATCACTGGCCTCCATGCGCCATCACACATGGCACAAAACTAAGATCATATTGTATGTACATACTATTCTGCAAATTACTTTTTCCTCTTGTATTTCCATTGTTCTGTGTTTTTAAAGTATGTATATATAAACATATACCTTAAAATATATATACAAAAATATATATATATATATCCCCTTGGTGCATGTTGTTACAAAATAGAGTGAGGAAAGCTTTCTGTTCTATTGGTTCCAAATTACATAATGATTTTTTATAATAATTTGTTGTGTAACGGTAGATTTTGTGTTCATATAGAAATTATCTTTTGTAGAAATTATGGTTTTTTATCTGCAGCATGAAATAACTTATTTTAAAAATATTATTACCAACCTTGTGGAACACTAATCTCAGCCCCTTGGGAAGCCAAGACAAGAAGTATTTGAGGCCAGCCTGTACCCCTTAGCAAGGTGCTGTCTCAAAATAAAACATTAAAGAAGTGTTGAGGCTATAGCCCAGTGCTCCTTGGATTCAATCTCAGTACCAAGGGGGAAAAAAAAGTATTACTGCCATATTGGTATAATATTTTTTATGCAGTTACATTCATCACTAGAATAATTACTTAATTAAACATGGATTCATTTTTTGTTTTTGTTTGTTCTTTTTTTTTTTTGAGTCAGGTTCTCGCTATGTAGTTCAGGCTGGCCTTGAACTCACTATGTAACCCAGGCTGGCCTCCAACTCACAGCAGTCCTCCTGCCCCAGCCTCCAAGTGCTGAAACTACAGGCTTGTGCCACTACGCTTGGCTCTGTACATAAATTCTTGACATAAAATTACTTATTAGAATTTCTTCTTTGCTATAGTTACTCCCAGGTGAGCAGTTCAGCTGCTTTTGCCTTAACTCATTAATAGAGATATTAAGGTTGTATAAAGTAAAATACAGAAGACCTGATGGCCAGTAATGAAACCAAAGGATTTGGTGCTACCTAATCAAGGCTAAATTGGTTATTTCATAAATGAGACGTGCCACTTTCAGTAGACTGTAATCTATGGCTGCATACTGGCTTTTAGTGGAAAACATGATTTTGAATGAATCCTGTCTCATCTGTATTCTTATTTTAATTTTTTGAATTTTAATATGTTATATATCTTTATTTTTAATTATAGGCTCGAGTTATAGCAGTACTGGACTGGGAGCTGTCAACCATTGGTCATCCTTTGTCAGACTTAGCTCATCTTTCGCTGTTCTACTTTTGGCCAAGGACACTTCCAATGATAAATCGAAGTTCTCATATCCAGAAAAGCATAGGTACAAGAGCATTATGCTTTTTAAATTGCCCTTAATACAACGTTGTCTTCACTGTTGTCAAAACTAAAAAATTATATTACCATTTTAGATAGTTTTTTTCCTTGAAAATGTTTCTAATTCATTTTAATTTTTTGAATTTAACATTCCACTTATAGTAACTAATGATGAAATATCCTTTGTATATAATGTTCTTTTCAGAATCGATATTTAGAAAATGTTATGTTGTATGGATTATGGTTATTATATTCTTACATATATATGTTCTATTATAACATTTTGAAATATTTCTCATGATATTTTTAAAGTTATTTTATATGCTATTTTTGTAGGGATACCGTCAATGGAAGAACTGATTTCAATATATTGCCGCTGCAGGGGGATTAATCCTATTCTTCCTAACTGGAATTTCTTTCTTGCCCTTTCGTATTTTAAATTGGCTGGAATATCACAGGTAAATAATTGTTTTAAATATGCATTTTACCAATTTTTACTATTGTTATGTTAAAAATATTTTCTGGTCTATAGGGTGTTAATATTTTGTTATCCTTAGACAATTCTGCATTTCCTAATGATGAGTAAGTAGGTATGGATAAACCTAGATTATGCAGAATAGGACTTTTTTTTTTTTTGAGACAAGGTCTTGCTATATATTTCAGGCAGGGCTTGAACTCACTATGTAGCCCAGGCTGTCTTTGAACCTACAGTGATCCTCTTGCCTCAGCCTCCCAAGTCCTGCAATTGCAGACATGTGCCACCATGCCCAACTCCAGAATAAAACTTTATTAAGAAAAAACTTGAGTAGCAAAATTTATTACCACTTTTTTGTACAATAAACATAAAATGGAGAGTGAGACAAAGATATATAATGACAAAAATAAAGAAAAATGTGAGAATTGGCCATTTCCTGAATATCCAGTGTACAAACTAAGATCTTTTGATCTTTGAATCTCTGTCTCAGACTAAAAAGCTCTTTATTAATCAGGGCCAATGATGAGGGAAGAATTCTCAGAAGCTGGTGTAGTACCTAGCATGTTGTAGTCTTTAATATGCTTACATGTAAATAAATGAGTACAAATTTCCATTTTCTATATCTTATCCATGTGATTAATTTTGAGAACAAATCGAGCATAAATTTTTTTCCAATTACATTTTAATCTAAACAAATGCCTTCTTTATATTAATCTAGTTTCCAGGTACTTTGAATCTTAATGAGTTTAAGAAATTCAGATGATTCCTTAAGACTAAGATTTAGGAGTACAGTAAATAAGAGATTCTAGAAAGAAGGGGAATGGGAAAAGAAGGAATAAGGAAAATTATGGTTATTTTTCCCTGACCTCAGAATTTATACTATCCATGAATGATTGCAGTGTCTTCTAAGAGATGATTATGTTAATAGCTTTTTCTGTGTTCTAAGAGTTGATCATGTTGCTAGGCATGATCACACACATCTGTAATCCCAACACTTGGGAGGCTGAGGCAGGAATCTCCTGAGTTTATGGCTAGCATGAGCTTCCTCAGGAGTTCCAGGCCATGTTGGATTACATAGTGAGAACTTGTCCCAGTGAAGGAAGGGAGGGAGGGAGGGAGGAAGGAATGACAGTTGGTCATATTGAATGAACAGGTTTCTCAAAATAGGTACATTTCTGTATCGTCAGTTTTCACAAATCAGATACCAAATAGGATTTACATTTAAAATGGTTTTCATCTCAAGTAAAAGTTTGACAGTGGTTATGATTGAAGTTAAAATGTATATCATTAGCTACATAGTACCTGGAAGTACAGAAATGGAGAATTATGAAAAAGACTGAGCATTCAGCTAACCCTGTTCAAAAAAAGACACTTCTACCTAAATTAGTGGTCTCCAGATGAGATTAAATACTAGAGGTCATCTCATTGCTTTCTTTGGTTTTACAGTATTTTTTTTTTTAATCTCATTCTCATTTCTTTAACTTTCCCCTCACTGTGAAGGGAAGGCAGTCGTCATTAAAGATGATCTAATTCTCATTTCTTTAACTTTCCCCTCACTGTGAAGGGAAGGCAGTCGTCATTAAAGATGATGTATCTTGCAGGTTTGGTGTCTTAGGTAACTTCTGAGATCATTTTCAAGTTTGGTTTGGTTATCAGTTACACTTCTGCTGGATGAGAGTGTTTTAACTACCTGATATGAGTTGATTCTTCAACTTAGAGGAGTATAGTTACCCTTGCATGTAAGTTTACAGTACTGATAGTCTAATTTACATCTTCACCCTGTGAATCTAGTCCCCCACCTTGCTGAGAAACTGTATTATATAGTTGACTGATTATATAGTTGAAGGACAATTTTCAATGAATTTTAATTACCCTGTTAATTTACTTATAGGGAGTATATAATAGATATCTTTTGGGAAATAATTCATCTAAAGATAGCTTTCTCTTTGCCAATACTGTACAACCTCTGGCAGAAACCGGATTACAACTCGCAAAAAGGTAAGAAAAATGGATTCCTTGAGTAACTCAAATGAAACCCTTTATTAGCTATGTTTCAATAAGTTCATGGAGGGTATATTCATTCAGTTAACAGATTAAACAGTGTATATTCATTTACTTAACAAATAATTATTAGATATGTGAAGGTTATAAACTTAGGGGATAGAAATTATATGTGTTGCTCATGCCAGAATTGCTATTGCCAGTCATGGTGGTTTTTGGTAAGTCTCTTATATGCCTAAAAATAAATTGACTTGGTTGGAGGGGTAGTTCAGTAGAGCATTTGCTTAGTATGTGTGAGACCCTGGGCTCAATCACCAGTACCATAAAAAATAAAAATAAAAAATAAATTGACCTGTAATATAAAAACAAATTTCCATATTTATGATTAAAAGTAGTTTTTGTCAATTTGAATGTGTAACTTTTTAAAGATACAGATAAAACTCTCAAATATTTCCTCTTAGTACTTAAAGTTACTTTTATGTGCCTGTTTAAAGTTATGTTATATAAGATTACTTATCAATTTACAAATACTGCTTTCTCCCAGTCACATTTCCTGAAATTTTATTCAGACATTTCAGAAGTGTCTGAAACACATGTCTTCATCAGTGGAGCATTCTGAGGCATCTAACAACCTTTGTCAGTCATACTTGCCTTACTCCCTGAAGGCACAATAATGCTGACCCCAGAAATTTTGCCTAAGCTACAAGTACCCATGGCATAACATTATAGCAGTTGTTTTTCACAATTCATCTTGTATACAGATATTTGTGATCTTTACAACATAATAACCAACTATGTTTTGCTTCATATTTTACCTTTATCTTTTTGCTTGCTTCCTCGTTTGTTTGTTTGTTTCTTGAAACAGGGTCTCACTATGTATGTATGTATGTATGTTTGTTCAAGACTTGCCTTGAACTCTCTATGTAGCCCAGGCTGGCCTCAAACTTGTAGTAAGCCTCCTGCCTCAGCCTCCGGAGTGCTGGAATTATAGGAATGTACTACCATGCCTGGTATACCTTTATCTTTAAAGGTCTCTATAACATTCTGCAGTTGTATTTGTGAAGCATATATTAAGAATAATAATTAGGTTTGTATAGAATATCCTCAGTGCCTCATGTAGTGATTATGACACTGGGCTTCAATAAAGATTCAAAACTGTATTTTTCCCAGATAGTGATTTAAGCATTAATGTTCCAAAAAAATGATTCCACATTTATCTCATAATATGAAAGAAAAAAGTCTAAAACTGTCTGAGGAATATTTTGGGGGAGTGGGGAAGACTTCATATTATCTTCAGAAATATATATAATGATTTTGCATATCTTTGTAACCTTTTTTTTTTTGTAAAGAACATTCAATACTGCACTGCCACTGCTGGTTGATAGTACCAAACATTTGTTTGTACAGACTAGAAAAGGCCAAGAAGTTCTTACTAAAGTGAAGCAGTTCATGAAGCAACACATCCTTCCAGCGGAGAAGGTATTATATAAACAATGTTTTTATGCTAAGCTACTATTGGTGAATACTTCCGTTAAGTCTCTGCTTGTGGAAGAACCATGGTGTCATTTTCTTTGTAACCAACCCTTACTCAGGCTGCCCTCCTAACTTGTCGCTGAGCCCAAGAAATTCCAAGCTGCTAAAGTATGCCAGGGTGTGTGGGGCGGGGGGTGCAGATAAGTTTGTGGAATTAAAACTAAACCAAAGAGAATCAGCACTTGAGAGCCTGAATCTGTTGGTACAAAACATTATCTTGGGCACCTTTTCCTAGGACAATGGCTTTCAGCTTTTTTTCTTTTAAATGAATATGGACCCCTTTGAGAATTTAATGAGAACTGCACACTTCACAAGATGAATGACATACCAAAAAAATTGTATATATTATTTGAAGCTGTTTGCTAGTGCTACCCCTTCTTTCTCCCATAATCTACTACTTTAAGGTATTAAGTTTCAGTAATTCAAAGAGAGTAAGGAGGCAACATGATGTGTTCCTTCATTTAATTTACAAATAATTATCAGATATCTTATGATAGATTAGGCACTTGGGGAGCAATTGAATGAAAGAACAAGAGAGACGGGGCTTATGCTCCTATGGAGCTTATATTTAGCAGGAAAGAAAGGTACTAAAAATAGTCAGTGGGTGTCAAGAAAAGATAAAAATATCTTATGAAAATTATGTCAAGCTGGGTGTGGTGATGCACACTTGTAATCCCAGCACTTGGGAGGCTGAGGCAGGAGGATCACTAAGTTTGGGGCCAGCCTGGCCTGCATAGTTCAAGACCAGTCTGAACTACAAAGTGAGACTATGCCTCAAAAAAACAAACAAAAATAAATAAATAAAGGGAAAAAATTGTATAGAGATCTATGTGAGTAGAACACTGGTGTAGAAATTGTAAGAGTTTAAATAAGCACTAATACAGTAGTAATGGGGGACCTCAATCCCCCACTGTCACAAATAGACAGATCATCTAGACAAAAAATCAACAATGAAATACTAGAACTGAACCAAGCTTTTGAAAAAATGGACTTAATAGATGTCTATAGAGTGTTCCACCCCCACAAAATCAGAATATACATTCTTCTCGGCTGCACATGGGTCATTCTCCAAAATAGACCACATGCTAGCTCATAGAACATGTTTAAGTAAATGCAAAGCAATTGAAGTTATCCCCTGTATACTATCAGACCACAGTGCAATTAAACTGGAGATCAGTAGCAAAAGAAACTGCAAGAACTTCACAAACACATGGAAATTGAATAACACTCTCCTGAACAACCAATGGGTCACAGAGGAAATTAAAGAAGAAATCAGATAGTTTCTACAATTAAATGATAATGCCAATACAACATACAGGAATCTATGGGACACAATGAAAGCAGTTCTACGAGGGAAATTCATAGCAGTAAATGCCCATACTAGAAAAACAGAGAGCTCAAATAAACAACCTAATGCTCAACCTCAAGCTCCTAGAAAAAGAAGAGCAAGACAAACCCAAAGCTTATATAAGGGAGGAAATTATAAAGATAAGAGCAGAAATCAATGCAATGGAGACTAAGAGAATGATACAAAAAAATCAATGAATCAAAGAGTTGGTTTTTTGAAAGAATAAATAAAATCAATAAACCCTTAGCCAGCCTTGTCAAAAAAAGGAAAGAAAAGGCTCAAATCCATGCAATTAGGAACGAAAAAGATGAAGTCACAACAGATCCAGCAGAAATCCAGAGGATCATCAATACCTACTTCAAAAACCTGTACTCTAATAAAATGGAAAACACAAAAGAAATGGACAGATTCCTAGATATATATGAATTACCAAAGTTGACAAAGAAGATATAAAATTTCTAAATACCCCAGTTACAATCAGTGAAATTGAAAACATAATTAAAAATTTACCAACAAAGAAAAGCCCAGGTCCTGATGGCTTCACTGCTGAATTCTACAAGACATTTAGAGAAGAACTATTGCTGTTACTCTTTAAACTCTTTAATGAAATTGAAAGGGAAGCAGTGCTTCCAAAGTCATTCCTGGAAGCAAGTGTTAGTTTGATTCCAAAAGCAGAGAAAGATCCAACCAAAAAGGAGAACTATAGGCCAATCTCCCTAATGAACATAGATGCAAAAATCCCCAATAAGATACTGGCAAACAGAATACAGAGGGTCATCAAGATCATACATCCTGATCAAGTCGTATTTATCCCAGGAATGCAAGGATAGTTCAACCTATATAAAACTATAAATGTAATACACTATATTAACAGAGCTAAGGACAAAAACCATATGATTATCTCCATAGACCAGAAAAAGCATTTGACAAAATCCAACACACATTTATGGTAAAAACCCTACAAAAAATCAGAATAGACAGTCTCTACCTCAATCTGATAAAAGCCATCTATGAAAAGCCAACAGCCAACATCATACTAAATAGTCAAAAACTGAAAACCTTCACACTAAAATCAGTAACAAGACAAGGATGTCCACTATCACCACTCCTGTTCAATATAGTACTTGAAACATTAGCCACAGCAATTAGACAAGAGAAAGAAATAAAAGGAATAAAGATAGGAAATGAAAAAGTTAAACTGTCATTATTTGCTGATGATATGATACTTTACACAGAACACCCAAAAAAATCCACCAAAAGAAATTGTAAGAGTTTGATTCCCGTCAGTCCCTGCCACAGGTTAAGTTAGATGGTCTTGTGTTAGTTGGTCTTGTTTGGCCTATTTCATCATCTGCATTGTGAGAGTAGGCCTGACTTCATGTACAGTAAATTCCCAATCTAATTTCCTAGGTTGCTGAAAGGCTAGAGCTAGACTGGCAAAATCAAATAAAGAACTTTAAATCAACAAAAATATTCAGAGATGATACATGTTTGTAGGACAGTGCTGTTATTTGAATTATATGAATAATATATTTTTAGTGAATATCTGGCTTGAAGTGAACATCTCTCAGAGAGTAGGCCATGGTTTCTTTTTAAAATACTTACATGTGGGAAATCTTTCTAAAATAATCACCTTCCATGTGCTGTGATTTAGATATGACTGGATATTTCCTGTTCTAGTTAGTATTTTTCCTGTTTAGTTTTAAAAACTGAACTTTTGGATAGTAAAAAGGGATTACAGGCTGGGCACAGTGGCACACATCTATAATCTCAGCTGCTCGGGAGGCTGAGGGAAGAGATTTATAAGTTTGAGACCAATCTGGGCAACTTAGTGAGCCCCTGTCTCAGAACCAAAAGAGCTGAAAAGGCTGAGGATGTAACTCAGTAATAGAGTGCCCCTGGATTCAATCTCCAATACAAAAACAAAAAGGAATGAAACAAGTTTAGTTCAAGATGGTGATGAATTCAACATTTCCCTCCCTCCTTCAAATAAAATCCCATTGAATTAACAATAAAGAAGTTTTTGGAAAATGGAATAAGTTGGTAAAAGCATGAAAGCAGGAGAGAGGACACACCAGAGTATTAAATGTTTTGACAAAAGAGTGGAAATTAGATTGGGAAGGCACAGTGTGTCATATCCAAGAATAAAGCATAACAGAAGAAGCCATATCTGAAAGTAATTTTGAAGTAAGAGAAGGCTGTAACACAGGTAGTAACTACTTTTCACCTATGATTGGCTAATGAAAAGAGGAAGAAAAACCATGAAGACTGTTTAAAGAGTTAGCAGGGGGGCTGTTTGGGTTGGTCTGTCATAACCCTGCATAGCAATAGTATTTGCCCCAAACAGAAGGCTGAAACAGTACTCAAAAAAGAAAAATAGCAACTGATCTGTTCAAAGAAGCCAGACTTCAACTTGAGGTTAGTAGGCTAAAGTAGGACCCTTCATGATTTGGCTTTTTCTGTTTCAGGATTGTGTTTTTGTTTTTCTAGTGTGTGTAGTGAGGGGTGGAGACTCCAACTTGTCTTTTAGACTAATTCCTACCTGGTCACCCTAAAATGAAGCCTGTCTTGGCACACTGTTGCTTACAACCAGCCCTTTATTCAGTGAGCTGGCCTCAACTAGCAGAGGAAACCAGACAGGTTTATTCTTTCATTCATAACCGTTAGTAGGCAGGCAAGGGAAGCCACAGCACAGAAGATAAGGGTCGTAGGATAGGTTGTGATGCTCCACTGAACTTAGTATCATACAGCTATTAAAACATGTGCAACAAATTTGAAATAAAAGAAAACAGAGCTTTAAAGAAAAGATTGTCCATATTTGTGCCACAAGGAAAGACACAGTCATGTTATCTTTGCAAATCTTTCAAATCTGGGACATAATCCACATCTGATAATGTGTGCTTTTCTTCCTTTAATAACTTCTACCAATGTCTGTAAAAATGTATCATTCTGAACAATACTAATCCCTTGCTGTGGGATATATACATTGGGAATGGTCTTGGAAAAAAGGAAATAGCTTTTACAAAATGAAAGGGGGAGGGCGGGGGATTTAGCTCAGTGGTGCTTGCGCCTACCTCTCAGTTACAAGGTCCTGAGTTTGATCCCTGGTACCACAAAAAAAAAAAAAAATGAAAGGGGGAAAGGGGGAAACCTATATAAAACTCTGTCAAGTATGATTATAATTTGAGTTTACATAAAACAAAATAATCATGTCTAGAAAATGAGGTTGTATTATACAACATACTAACATTTTCACAGTATTTCTTTTGCTACTAAGACTCTTAATGACTTTTTATTTATATGTTTAGATTCATGAAACAATTCTGTTGCCTTTTTTTTTTTTTTTTTTTTGGTACTGGGGATAGAATTCGGATCCTTCCGCTTGCATAGCAGGCAGCAAAACCACTGAGCTAAATCCTTGGCCCTCTGTTGCCTTTTTGAAACTCCTGGAATACCAAAAGATAAAATCATAACTCACTATTTTTAAAAATGCTGAAAGTCAACTCTTCCTATTTAAAATTGATAAATCATCCTAAAATAGCATGTAAAACAGGAACTAGCAAGATAATATGTTGTGGAGAACACACTTTTACATAGT